AGCCACCCCTGCTCCAGCTGGACCTGCAATTCACACAGCTTAGGTCAGCTCAGCTGCTGGGACTTAGCAAGTGGCCCAGGGACTTCTGGGGGGACTGTCCCCCCACCAAGCACCAAGTACACACAAACATTTAGAACCCATCCACTCTGTGCCTTCCCGCCCCTCCCACCTGCCTGCAACCTCCCAGCCCCTCCCACCTCTCCAGCCCCTCCCACCTGCCTGCCGCCTCTGCAGCCCCTCCCACCTGCCTGCCGCTGCTCCAGTATACTCTCCGATCAGCAGTTTATTTGATCTTCCAGATAAACGCAAACTTTCACACTGCGCTGCATCCACCTCCTTCCGTTTGAACCTGAAGTTTCAAAGGGTCTTAAAAATCAGAGACCGAGCCCTGCAAGTGAAATGTAAACATGAAGGATGGTGAGCCACGCATGGTGGCTGGATGTCAGAAGCAGAACAAGCCCATGAGAGTGTCAAGGGCAAATCTGCCTTTTAGGGAGACTAGGAGTGTAGGTCTGGGAGCTCAAGCTGTTCCACCGACCACCAACTCTGTGCCCTCGAGTAAGCCGCTAAATCTCTCTGTGCATTAGTGAAATGAATGGTGATGATCAGTCCCCAGCCAAGGAGGAGGATTGGACTCCTAAAGGAATTCTCGATTTGCACTGGTGGCTGGGAAAGCCAGCTGAGCGGAGGAAAGAAAAGAGAGCTACGTATCATTAGGAGAAGTGGATGATGCTGGGGCGGGGGGGAGATTTGAATGGAAAAAATACGCTGTGGAATTCAGCCAGTTATAGCAATCATTAAAAAGTACATATAACAGTAGGGGGGGCGGGGGGCGGTGATCAGTGGGCAGGGTATGTAAGCATAAGGACTTGAGTTCTGATACCCAGTACTCACAGAAGCAGGGACTGGTTGTGCCCACTCACCTGTAATCCTAGCACTGGGGAGGACTGAGGCCGGCAGACCTTGGGGTGCTGGGAAGACAGTCCAGCAGAAGCAGCCCCTCCCGGGTCAGTGAGAGACTGTCTCAAAAGTAAATTGGAAGATCAACAAGATGGTTCAGAGTATAAAGGTGCTTGGTGCCAAGTCTGAAGACCTGAGTTCCAACGGAGGTTGTCCTCTGACCCTCGCAACCACACACCTACACACACAAAAGGAATAAATAAATGCAATTAAAAAAGGTCAGAGGCAGGCGGATCTCTGTGAGTTCGAGACCAGCCTGGTCTACAGAGCTAGTTCCAGGACAGGCTCCAAAGCCACAGAGAAACCCTGTCTTGAAAAAAACCAAAAAAAAAAAAAAAAAAAAGTCAAGAACTGACTGAGGAAGACCTGACATCAACCTCTGACCTGCAACACACACACATGGGTAAGGACACCGGCACAAAACGCCGTACAAACCCGAAACACACATCATTCAGTTCCTGATGTGTAAGGAAATCCAAGCAATATAGACAAAGTTTAAATCCCCTTGGTCACATTTCTTTTTCCAGAGGTGGCTGCTGTCACCAGTGCACAATGCAAATGTATGCTTCCACAGAAGCCATGGCAGTTTGCACACTGGGTAGCCTGTCACCTTTCTGTTCCTTGCTGGGCCTTGGGGCTTTGTCATGTTTGACCCTCAGCACGTGGTGGCACATGCTTAGAATCCTAGCACTCTGGGGAGGCAGAAACGGGTAGATCCCTGGGGCTGATTGGCCAGCTAGCCTAGCCTACTTGATCTCAGGTCCTGGTGAGAGACCCTGCTTCATTCAAAAAGCTGGTGGGCACTTGCTAGGAAGCAACACTGAGGTTGACCTCTCACCTTTATGTGCACACGTGCACAGGCACCTGCACATACAGGAGTACATACATACATGCATACATATGTTTATATGTATGCATGTATGTATGTATTGAGACGTTGAGGGAGGAGGACTGAAAGTTTGAGGCCAGCCTGGGCTACATAGTGAGACCCTGACTCAAGAAGAAAACGTGTTTAAGAAGTGTTTGGGGTTGGGGATGTGACTCGCATGCATGAAGTCTGGGGTTCAGGTCTCAGCATTGCATAAGCTGGGCATGGTGGTACATGTCTGTAATTTCAGTTCCTGAGAGCTGGAGGCGGGAGGATCAGAAGTTCAAGATCATTCTTGGCTGCATAGGGAGCTTAAGGCTAGTCTGGGTTAGAGACCCTATCTTAGAAGCAAAAGATAGGAAAAGAAAAAGAAGAAAAAAGGGGAAGTTAGTTGGAGGGGGTGTCACTTAGTGGTAGAGTAGAGCCCTTGCCTAGAATGTTGAAACCTAAATTTCGATCTCCAATACCAAAAAGGAAAAGAAGACAATAAAGCATATTTCTCACTTAGAACTCCTCCCACTTTAGAGAGTTCTTTTTCACTTTCCCTGATAAATCTGTGCTTGGTCTGTAGAAATAAATTATATATATATATATAATTATATATATATATATGCAGAAAATAAGTGATGAAAACCAGCCTGCCTGCATATTAGGGTTAAAAACCATCTTATGGTAAAGACAAACTAGGTTCATTCCTGTTTGTGATTGAACCTCTGTCTCTCAAGGACTGGGCTGTGCCTCACCTGTAACCTTAACTACGAAAGGTACTGGGCTGCCTGTTCCAGGAAGTGGCTATGCCTATGTTTCAAAAAGCTGTAATGACCATCTTGCAAAACTACCTGTGTTCAAAAGGTTTTCATGACTACTCTCTGTCGTGACTACCTTTTTAGGATCACCTTGTTACGACCTCCTTGCAGTCATGTCTTTGTTTCAGAGGTTGTTGTGATCAGTTTATTATGCTATGTCCTGCTCCTGTAACCCAGCCTATTTCCCCCATTTGGAAATCCTTACTCCTGAGCTATAAAAACTCCATCTTCCTCATGTCCAGTGACGACCTCTTGAACCCCACCTTAGAGGGAAACAGCCCATGTATACACATTTTTTAAAAAAGCTTGCTTCAATTAATTGCTTGCTCCAGCTAATTTGGCCATGATTAGTTAGGTCAGTGGTCTTTCTCCTTGCATCTTTGAGATAAACTCTAGAAAGGGAAGAAACTGACCTTCCCTCTTCTGTGGGCATCTGAACAGATGATTCAGTTTCGTTCCGATGTATTTTGTGAGCACAGACCAAATGCCCGGAATAGCCACCCATAGGAAACAGAAAGGCAAAGACATCCAATCCACTTTCCCTGAGCAGTAGCTTGTGGAAGGGGTGGGTCTTGACGTGTGGGCCTGAGACTGTTGAGAATCTCTTGGGTCTCGACCAGGGTTGTAATAAAAATGGCCTTGGGGCCGGAGAGAGGGCTGCTCTTCCAGAAGACCTGGGTTAGATTCCCAGCACCCAACATGGCAGCTCACCACTGTAACTCAGTTCCAGGGGACCAGCTCCCTCTTCTTGCCTCTGCAGGCACCACGCGTGCATGTGGTGCACAGACATACATGCAGACAAAACACCCATGCAAACGGTGATGAGAAAGAAGACTGAGAACAAGTGCCTCCTCTTCCCTGCAAGACAACCTTTGACGTTAAAATACAGAATCAAGTTATTCTGGGCATACGAGGAGAAAGAGGGCAGAGGTGAGGGTCATGATTGTCTTTCCACAAGATGGTGGGAGTTCCATCCTGATAGAGGGTACCAGGGACATAACTGACGCACACATCCCTCCTCAGCCTTTCTGAGAGAGAAGCTGGCCCTGCTGACACGGTGATAGCCAGGGTTTAGGGCAAGAAGACTTTCTGGAAGGAAAAGGGCTGATGTTCATTCTGCGCATCTCTTTTCTGTGTTACAGCCATGGACTCTAGGGATTTGATAAAAGTACATTTTTCCATAATTAGGGCTAAACCTGGCAGAGAAGATTCTAGAAACATGCCTTCCAATATAGACACTTGTAGCCAGTGAGCACTTAAGTGTGGGGACTTTGTTCATTGATGCATTATTTATTTATTTATTTTTATTCAAGATAGGGGCTTGCTGGTTAGCCCTGGTTGGTCTGGAACTAATTTGCGACACAGACCAGGCTGGCCTTGAACTCACAAGATCTGCCTGCCTCTGCCTCCCAAGTGCTGGGATTAAAGGCATGTACCACCACTACCCAGCCAAATCTTTATTATTATTACTGTGTATGTTAGACTCAGGTGCCACAGCATGCATGTGGAGGTCAGAGGACAGTTTTGTATACTAAATTCCGTCCTTCCATCTTTATGGTAGTTTCAGAGACAAAATTCAGGTTGCCAGGCTTGCAGTAAGCACCTTTACTTGGTGAGTTATCTCACGGGTCTCACTTTGCTCTTTTTAAACATGAATGTATTATTGTACATTATATTATAATTTATTTGCACATACACATGTGCATGTAGGTGCCTATAGAGGCCAAAAGTGGTAGTAAGCCACCTTATGTGGGTGCTAAGAATTGAACCCGGGTCTTCTGGAAGAGTAGCAAGTGATTTTTAACTACTGAGCCATCTTTCCAGCCATCCCCCTCCCCCACTCTGTTCTTAATGCCGCAGACACAACCTTTTTCAGATATTTCTGTGGGCTGCTGGTGGCTTTGCTCATCAAGTACCAAAGGTATCAGAGTTAGTGCCCTGTGGGTCAGATGCAGAGGGACTTGGGCTCCATGGAGATCAGCTTCTAGGGGCCATGGGCACACTAGAGCTCACAGCGTGGGGGGGGGGGGGATACTGGGATGAACTAGCCCCTGAAATTACATCCTTGCTGGCTTCTTCCCTTCCAATGCTCTGTTTCCCCAGTTCCTGGACCCGTTTCTCCCAGAGACATCTTCCTATCAAACTGTTGGCTCCCAAATGCTCATCTTATATCTGCATCTTTAAACTCGCCTTTAAAACATGATGATAGCACTGTGGATATTGGTCATGACCTTGAGTAGTGGCCCTGTGACTCACAGACCTGGACAGTAGGAGTTTTATGACCGTGAGGGGAGGCCTGTGATTCGGCTCACTTGTGACCGTGCCTAGGAAGTCGAAAAGCACACCACACCCAGAGTCGTGGATGGATCATTTTGTTGCTCTTTATTTTGGCTCCTTCCCAAATACTTTGCAGCCTCCATCTTGGCTTCTTTTCCAAGAAGTTGAAACTGCCTAGTTCTTGCCATCTTCATGCCATCCCTCTGCCCCCCACAGAATATTTCAAAATCAACCCTGAAACAGGAACTGGTACAGCCCAGAGGCATCTAGGCCTATGTTAAAGTGGGGGTGGGGAAGAGCAAGGGGTCCACAGGGGAGCATCACACTGGGGGGGTCACACTGGGGGGAGTCACACTGAGGGGGGAGTCACACTGGGTGGGTAAGTGTCATAGGACAGGCAGTGTCTCAGTCCAGGAGTTCCAGAAAGTTCTGAAACAGCCATGGCTGCCAGGGAGAATCATAGCACAATCTACAAAGACAAGCGGCCTCCACGAGGGAGGCACTCACTTCCCCTTACCATAGATAAAAATAAAAGCCACAAAGCCCTCTAACTGAACACCACACATGACAAACTCCACTTGCCCAGATCAGCTCCCTCAGAAGGGCATGTGTTTCAAAGGCAGGGACCACTGACCCCAGCTTTGGCGGCTGTGGGGCCTGACCTGACATGGTGCTGTAGGCCCAGCTGGACGGAAAGGGGGCTCTGTTTACAGAAGACACCCTTATTTCTTCAAGGCAGTGACTGGTGTCCTGGGTGCTTCTTCAGTACATGGGGAAGTGTTTCTAAAGAGCACACCACAGCAAAGGTGTATTTTGTTTGAAGGGGACACACCAAGTCTATAGCTAGTTTGTGCTGTCGGAGCCCAAGTCTGTGCCTGTTGCTCAGTAGCATGCAACCCATGTTGGTTGCATAGCTGAGGAAGTAATCCAAGGTAAAAATCCTGTTCCCCTAAAAATGCAAGACGGTAACCCTTTCTTCGGTTATAACATGGGGCTGTTTAACCCTTCAAAGTAGAACTAATATTTCTTATATTCCTGGCCCTAAAGGACCTTCTTTATTTAAATAATTTATTTTTCATTTTTAAATATTATTTATTTTACTCATATGTGTGTGTGCCTGAGTGTGCAGAAGTACATGGAGGTCAGAAGAGAGCATTAGATCCCCTGGAACCAGAGTTAAGAGGTGGTTGAGAGGCACCATTGTGGGTGCTGAGAACTGAACCCAGGTCCTCTGCAAGAGCAGCCAGTGCTCTTAACCACTGGGCCCTCTCTCCAGACCCTACAAATCTTATTTTTATGTATGTATATGAGTTTGTGCACAGGTGTGCAGTGCCCCTCAGGGGCCAGAAAGGCTACTGTGTCCATTGGATCTGGAGTTACAGACAGTTATGTGTTCTGGGAACCGAACTTGGGTCCTTTCCAAGAGCAGCAAGCACTCTTGATTGTGGGCCTCTCCAGCTCCTGGGGCTTTTCTAACTGAAGCAGAGGGGATACATTTGCCTGTGTCTGGATGGAAGGACTTTGGAAAGTGTGCTGGAGAATTCTACCTCCAGAGCAGTAGCTGGCCGAGAACCCATGGCTGAGGCTGGAGCCTGACCAGCATCCTTAGACATTGAGGCCAACCTTCGAGAGGAGGGATAGGTCATTTCTTAAGCTCCAGGGAGGCCTACATCTGGCTGGTGGTGAAGAAACTATGTAGCTGTCTGGAGGGGACAGGGTCCAGAATAGGCAGAATGGTGGGAAGAGGGGCCCATGGACTGGTCAGAGAATTGAGGACCAGGCAAGAGAAACAGGGGAGAGCATCTTTACATACTGAACTTTGGACCACGGATGCTAGTCTGGGGAGGGCAGCCTGCATCCACAGTGAGTGAAGAACTCTCTTCGGCTAAGACTTATTTCCAGAAGATTCTAAGCAGAATGGTTGGACCCTCAGGCGGCGGGGGACTCTGCGTGTGCAGGAAGATGGTGAGGAATGAGTGGTTGGAGGGAGCCACCACGAAGCCCCGAGGGAGGCGAACGTGAAGTGAGGGTGCCATTCAAGGTATACCAGGACCCTGGTCCCGTCCTTGGGGTCTACCTTGAACAGAAGAGCAGGTGCTGGGAAAGCCAATCACCCCAGGGTCTCCTTTCTCTCTCCCTTCATTCTCATCTAGAGTAGAGGCTGAGGATTCTTGAGGAACGGTCTGGCTACACGATTTGCTGAAATCTGGTTTTCCCTGCCAGAGCTCTGCACACCAGCCATGTGTCCAGCAATTTTCAGGGGGGATGGTTGGGCTTACTGGGGGGAAACTCCAGTGGACACCGAGGCCCTTTCCAGGGACAGCAAGGCACAAGTACCCCCAATCCCACCCACTTCTTGAAAGGGAAGGACTTGGGGGCACAGGAAGGACCTGGTGATTACAGGGGAGGAGGGTAGGCCAGGGCCCCTGCCAGTCAGGGCACCATGTGCCACCACTTAAAGGTGAAGGGCTTCCTGCGGACGTTGGTGCCACAGTGCACCTCCCCCAGGAACTTGTGGTAGGCAGAGATGTCATCAATGAAAGTGCAGGCAAGGCCCAGGGGCTCCAGCAAACTTCGAACATGTGTCTCCAAGCAGCACTCCTCCTCCACCTGGGGCCCGAAAGGTTTGGGGATGCCCAGTTCCTTGTCCAGCACGATCATGTTTACCTGGGAGGGAGGGAGTGTTTAGGGAGCAGCCGCTGTTTGCCTGCAGGGGTCAAGACCCCAGATCCCTGTTACTGACCTACATAGGAGGTGTTATCAGGATCCTCCTTTAGAAGTGGGAAACTGAGGCCCAGATTGAGCTAAACCTTGTTTGTGCTGTGACCTTCTGCAAAGAACTTGCCTATCTGTTAAAGGGTCTGGGGACACTTAGTGAGAAAGCAAGGTTAAGCCTACCATCCCTAGCAGAGAAGGGAGGGCCTCAGAGAGGACAAGTGGCAGAGGTGGGATCACACAGCAACTCAACTGGGCCTTTCTGGACCGGCTGTGCCCGGCTGGGCTGGGCATAGCATGAGGGGCTGGGGCCGGAGGGTCTCACCATGTTAGGGAAGAAAGCTCTGGCCTGGCGGTCTTCATCCATCTTGAACAGAGCAGGCAGGTCAATGATGTCCCTCTCAGTCAGTGCCAGCTCCTTCTTGAGGATGTCACGGTTCCAATCCAGGCAGCGCTGGGGGAGAGGGAAGGAGGGGGCACACACCTGTCACTCTGCCTGCATTCCAGAGAGACTCCAGCTTAGCTGGTGTCCCCGTTACCTCTCCGGAGTCTCTCTAGCAGAGTGAAGGGACAGTAGTTTTTGTTTATTTTTGTCTGTTGTTGTTGTTGGTGTGTGTGTGTGTTGTTGTTGTTGTTGTTGTTGTTGTTGGTGGTGTGTGTGTGTGTGTGTGTGTGTGTGTGTGTATGTGAATGATATGGTCTCTCTGTGTAGCCCGACTGGGCTATCCTAAAACTCTCTTTGTAGATCAGGCTGCCCTTGAACTTACAGAGACCCGACTGCCTCTTCTGGCACATGCATTATAGGCGTGCACCATTATGCCGGCCCCAATGGTTCATTTTCAAAAATGACTTTTGATGCCCAGCTACCAATGAACAGAAAATACTAGAGAATCCTGCTAATGCCTGCTAACCTAGATATCCCCCAAAGGCTCTATTAGCCTAGACCCCCACAACTTAAACTTTACAGTAGAAAATTGTTAGTACCCGAGCTTGCCTAATAACCGGCAGACATGACAGTCATGCACCTGACAAACCATAAAATAAACAGAGACTGAAGTCAGCCCAGTCCTTGCTGAAAACACAAACTTAAGTGGCAGAGACTCAGGTGGCCCCATAAGGTTGTGCCCCCTGATTACCCAGCTAATGAGGAAAGTGTGTGTGGGGGTGGTGCTGGCCTCAGGGTTTAAATACTTTCTCTGCTGTCAATCCTGCACCTGCCGCCTGGGCTTCTGGCCTTGGCAAAGCTGTGAGCTAAACTGCCTGGCTTCTGCTAGCCTGCGGTCCAGGGCTCTTGTTACAGAGTGTGGGGCTGTGTGTGTCTCTGTTTCTCACAGGGGTCACTGTGGGGTGTGTGTCTCTGTTTCTCACAGGGGTCACAGAGGGACAATCAGAGGTCGGGACCCAAGTAGCTGGGGAGGCGTTGGCTCGACTTCAGCGGGTCCTGTGTAGCTCCCCTGGGACTCCGCTGCCCTGCCACGCGTCCTCAGAGCGTGGCTGGGCTGTACCAGATTCTCTGACCTTCAGGGCCCTTGCCACTTCCTCTCACCCTAGCAATAAGGTCAGGGTGAACAGTGACTCAGGACTAAGCAAACGGGTGCTCGGAAACTCCCCGTCCACAGGGATCAGTTCAGGTTGACCCACGTCAGACTGAGCTTGAAAGACCCCCACTCACTAAGCAGCAGTAATGCCATTTTGCAAGGCTTAAACTTTGGAGCAACGCAAGTAATTAGAGCAGGGAAGTTCGACTTGAAAGCAAGGGTGGAAAAGCCAGGCAAGATATCCGCGGTCAGCCGGTCAGCCATCTGGCCCCAAGCGATAAGGAACCCGCAGCTGGCCTGCTCTAATGAGAACATCCCGGTTGCTTAGGGAAACAGGATGCCTATAGTCAGTATACGTGCCCAATTTAGAATATCAGTAATTCACAGAAGAGACAACTCCCCCTATGAAAGATCCCAGCTTATCTGCTGTAACGTCATTTCACAAAGCTTTTGACGTACGACTATAAGTGCAGAGTAAGGTCAGGGTCCCTGGCTGCAAAACAGGATCTTTATATCCATAGATTAGGACAGGACATCAATTAACAGGATGTCTGTTCCCATACATCTGTGCTGGGAAAGGAAAAACCCCCTGTGCCCCTGGCCCCATTCCAACTGACCACTAACGATGCATTTGCTTCTGTAATCTGCTTCTGCTGCCCTCTTTCCTATAAAAAGACCTTCCCCCAGTCTGCAGGCGCGCTTGTCTTCCGAAAGACTAAGTCGCCCCAGGTACCTGTGTACTTAAGTACTTAATAAAGCCTCTTGCTATTTGCATCCGAAGAGTGACTCGCTGCTCCTTGGGAGGGTCTCCTCAGCCTGAAAGACTGCCCAGCACTGGGGTCTTTCATTTGGAGGTTCCACCGAGATCTGGAGACCCCTGCCCAGGGATCACCGACCCACCACCGGGAGGTAAGCTGGCCAGCGATTGTTTTCCGTGAATGTCTGTGCTTCGGTGTTTCTGTGTTTGCGCTTGCGACTGACTCTGTACTAGTTGGCTGACTAGATCTGTATCGGGCGGACCGCGGAGGAGCCGACGGGCTCTCACTCCCGACCGTAGCCCTGGGAGACGTCTCAGAGGCATCTGGGGGCCGGATGTGGTGCCTGGCCCATCGGTAACTCTGTGAATCCTTACCGAATAGGATTGTTCGGGGCACCCCCACAGTCCTAAGGGTACGTGATTCTTCTGGGAGACGAGGAATCCGGATCCTCAGAGTCTCCGTCTGAAATTTTGCTTTCGGCATTATGCCGAAACCGCGCCAGCGCATCTGTATTGTCTGTGTATTTTTGTGCTTAATATGTTCTTTGTTTTGTATATCTGTTTGTACTCGAGTCTAAATCTGGTACCATGGGGCAGTAAATAACCATCTCTTTGACCCTAACTCTAGGAAAATCCAAAAGAAATGCAGACAGTCTGCCCTTCCTTTACTTCTCTAGGCTCTGCTGCTGAACTGCCCTGCTTGCTGTCGCGAGGGGGGAGGGAACAGGACTGTGATCTCCTGAGGCACAGCCTGGAGCCAGGCCTAGGCGGGGCAACTGGCTCCAGCTCTGAGCAAACCTCTCAGCAGGACGCAGGGCGGGGCATGGCAGCAACCCTGGCCCGAGCCAGAGAAGGGGGCAGCCGTGGCCCCCCTGAAATCCCTGTGCTGAAAATGACGTCCTCCCTTGCTGACCTGAAGTCCACCAGCACCGCACGGGAGGACTGGGGGAGGAGGGCTGCCTTAGACAGTCCAAGGTGTTCCCTCCCCCTACAGCCAATGCAAAGGCCTTCCCAGCTGCTACTGGCAGTGTGAGGGCTAAGAGGAACTGAGTGGACCAATCCTGACCTCACAAGTTCCCTGGAGGGAATGCCTCCTGGGGCCTCTGGAATCCCATTCAGAGAAAAGCTGCTAGATTGCTGTGAGTATAGAGATGGGATGTGGGAAGCTTGTGCTATACAACTAGGAGCTCACTGTGGACAGAGCTGAGGCTGAAGCCAGGTCCTGGGAGGATCCCCAGTGGGGTTCCCTGTGGAGAAGGCTTGTTTTCCTTAGAAAATAAGGTGCTAGAGACTGAATGGCAGCCCCCCATCTGCAAATGCCATGTAAAACCTTGTACTAAAGATCTGTGGCCCTTGCCCAGGGGAAATAGCTGGTGCTAGCGCCAGGGTCACAGAACTAAGCCTGGGAACCTGCAGTAGGCTATTTCTCTGGGGTCGGATACCCTATTAAAAAGCAAAGGTCCCCTAAAGAACCTGGACCTTTCCATTTTGGCAGTAGGGCAAGAGATTGCAAGTAAATTTCCCTGTGGCTGTTGATAAATGATAAATGTGGATTCAGGAGTAGTAGCTAATGAAATAAGCTGACATTAAAAGGGCCTGCCAGCCCTAATAACATCTGTCTTCTGGGGATGCTCTATACCAGTCATCATGTGCTGCATCCAGGTAAAAGCCTCTGGTTTAAAAATTGGGAAAATTAAATTAAGTCACTTTAAAATAATATGCTTGTGATAAAAAAAAAAAAACTACTATGCAGTGTGTCTAGAAGAAAAGTAAATTCCCAGTTCTGTTTAGATGGATGCAGGACTACACTGTCTTCAAGAACTATTGCTGTAGAAGGCCTGGCACAGGGCCGGGGCCATATGAACAGCCCAGCTGAGCTTCTAAGCCAGCCCATGTTTAGATCTGAATTTAACACTTGTCTGCTCACAATGCTTGTGATAAGGTGGGGGCCCTGAGTTGCCCCACAAGACAAAGATCTGCTAAAGCCTCTCACCCCACTACAATGGCAAAGGGGGTGTTACTAAATGATGAGGTTGAGTTAAAATGGTCCTTTTGACTCTTTATAATGTTTATGGCTATTAAAAAAAAAAACATGGCGAAGATTCTCATTTATTATTAATATAAAAAAGGTGCATTTTGAGTTGTTTTCAGATTCTGTCAATGATAATATAAAGGATGTCGCTAAGTTTTTAAGGTAATATGTTATCTAATTTTGAAAGTCCACCATGCTAATGTTCAAAGTAGCTGTAAGCATAAATTGTCAAATGATATTTTTAATCTTGGTCAGTTTTACAAGAATAAGATAAAATCTCAAAATTGTTTAATTTGCACTTCCCTGATGATTAAGGATGTTGTATTTAAACAAATTTTAAATATCTTTCAGTCACTTCAAGTTCATTTGTTGAGAATTTACAGTTTTGGTCTGTGACGTAATTGTACTAATGAGGATTAAGTTCTTAAGTTCCTTATATGTCTCATGATACCTCCCCATTCTACAGGTTGATATTACGTTCTGTTGATTATATCCTTTGCTAAAATAAATTTTAAACTTTTTTCCTTCTATAAAAGGTTCAATATTGTTGGTTTTATGTTAAGGTCTTTAATTTGTTTGGATTTCAGTTTTGTGCATAGAGAAAAATATGGATCTATCTTCATTCTTCTAAAGGGAGAAACTGACAGTCAAAATGCTGGGCTCATGGCAAATCTCAGGCGGGGGCTGCAAGGCACCCCACTAATTCGGCCGAGATAAGAGAGGTTCTCCAGGGGCCAGTTAAAATCTGTGTTCCTTAAATGATTAATGAAAGTTTACAGGCATTTTACCCAACCTCTGAAGGTCAGCAGACAGCAGTAGCCAAAAAAAAGAGAGAGAGAGAAAGAAAAAAAAAAAGAGAAAGAGAAAAAGAGAGAGAGAGAGAAAGAGAGAGAGAGAAAGAGAAAAAAAAAAGAGAGAGAGAGAGAGAGAGAGAGAGAGAGAGGCGGGAAGCAAAAGAAAGATAGGACTCAGACAGATTAGGAGCCTGGGCAACAGAAGATCAAAGACAGATAAAGAGGGACACTGGAACTGAGTAAAGAATACAAACTGGACACCTTACGAACTATAAATTTGGGAAAAAGATAAATAAATGACTCGTTCCTCCCTGGTCACTTCTGAATGTATGACCAAAGCCTTTTGTTGACCAAACGAGGGACTTTTGCTTTCGCTGCTGTTTTCAGTTCTGCAGGAGACACAGGCTGCTTGTCTGCCTCTGTCTCTACCACGCCCTCCTCACCAGGACGACCACCTCTCCTGCCTTCACCGCTGAAGAAATCCTCACCTCCTAGCAACTGCCTTGATGCTGTGCTTGCTCTAAAGCCTGCATGAGCCCTGACTGCTCACTCTACAGTCTTGCTCCCCTCACCCATGTCAGACTGCGATACAGCAGTCACCATGCTACCACAGGTGCCCTCCTGTGCCAGACTACTGCTCCTGTGCTGGGCTGACGTCGATGGACTATGGATCCTACCAGCATCTGCCTAAAGGACAGGCGAATGGCAAAATGGCAGGCTAAGCTGTGCCAGGCAGAGCCGAAAATGAGGGTGAAGCTTGCCAGGGGTACAAGGCTGGCGGTCCGAGCTAAGCAGGTACAGAAGACCGAAGGTAAGCGGAAGGCGGGGGCAACATTGGTGGACAGGAAGCAAATGATCTGGGCCAGTAGCCTCCCTTCAGGGATGGTGGCCCGACCAGAACGCTGAACTTGTGGCTTTGATACAAGCTCTACAGATGGCAGAGGGAACGTCTATACTAACAGCAGGTATGCTTTTGCCCTCACCTATATATATATATATATATATAAAGCAATATACAGACAAAAAGGACTGTTGACATCTGCGGAAATTTTGAGCCTCCAGGAGGCCACGCATTTGCCAAAGAAGATAGCCATCATACATTGACCAAGATTGAGACACCCAATGTAATGGCTAAGAAGATCAAAAAAAAAAAAAAATCATCCTAAGGTTTGGGATGGCCAAGATAATCATGTCCCATAATAGGCCTGCCTTTGTTGCCCAGGCAAGTTAGGGTGTGGCCAAGACATTGGGGATCAATTGGAACTTAAGCTTACCAACCTCAAAGCTCAGGTCAGATAGATAGGATAAGTAAGATTCTAAAAAAACAAATTGATATAATTGGCCCTGGAGACCAGCAAAAATGACTGGACAGACCTCCCTCCCTCCTGTCCTGTTCTGGGTTCAAAACACCCCGGCATCGTTGCCACTAGCTCTGTTGCCTGGCTAGTTAGCTGCTGCTCATGTATCTGCCGGCAATGGTTGACCTTGATGATGGAATCCTGAGCTCAAGGCTTGCACAGGGCAGGCACATCTGCTGTAAGATGGGCTTACATCACCTTTAAGGCTCTTCTTTCCTAAAGTCAGAAACCCACAGGGCTCTGCTCATTTTTAATGTCTTTTAAAGCATAATATCAGACAGCAGAAGCAAAAGACAATTCTGTTCTGTTCCTCCTTTGTGTGTCTGGGACCTATTGACAGGAATTATTTAGTACAGTTTGAGACTTTTCCAGATCAGACCGTTTTGTGCAGATAACTGCAGAGAGAAGCAAACACACCTAAAGCCTCCTTACCTCTTGACAGGTTTTGTTTTTCTACAGGAAAATCTTGTTTTAATCTATGGGGTTATAAAATGATATGACTTTCAAAAGGTAAACAGATGTAATTTAATATATAATAAAATAGATATCAATGGGATGTTAAAACTTTTTGATGCTGTACTTACAAATGTGAAGCCTGGGTAAGGTCAGTCTCAAAAAGATATTTATGTCCTCATTGGCTGTCCTCTGGCTTTAGGGCTTTCTGTTTTGTTTTAAACATTTGTCATCCTGTATTGCATTTTCTCTCATTGTTTGTTAAAGTTCTCACAATGGACACAACCCTGTACATTTGGATAAAGCTGATGCTACGGGATGCAATGGAAACTCGTAAATGCCATGTGGTGCCAGCTGGACCGAAACTGACTTCTCCGGCACATTCTCTGGAGCTGAGGAACAACACTCCCGGTGTCTACAGCAAAAGAGATTTGTCTTCATAATACTAAACTTGCCTCTTAGGAAAAGGCATCCATGTGTTTCTTAGGGCTGAGTTAAGCTCTTTGTAGTCAATAGACTATTATTGCCAGCACAATGTTGGGTGCTATTCTCGGGTCTACAGTGGTTCACAATGTCTACCATGTAGTTACTTTCAAGCCTCATTCAGATAGTTTTGCTAAGAGCTATTCTGCAAACCCTAGAGATGTTCTACTATCTTCTCAACAAGGATATTTTAAAGGATGGTTTAATAAATCACCATGGTTAAAAGCCTTAATTTCCATTATAGCTGGGCCCCTACTTATTTTACTTCTTATCTTTACAATCGGCCCTTACATTTTAAATCGCCTGGTGCAATTTATAAAAGACAGACTTTCAGTTATCCAAACCATGGTACTCTCCCAGCAATATCAGATATTAAAGCAGAATGACGTAGAGGTCTTTGAACACATAAATTTATGATTAAATCCAAAAAAAAAAAAAAAAAAGGGGGGAATGAAAGACCCCCACTCACTAAGCAGCAGTAATGCCATTTTGCAAGGCTTAAACTTTGGAGCAACGCAAGTAATTAGAGCAGGGAAGTTCGACTTGAAAGCAAGGGTGGAAAAGCCAGGCAAGATATCCGCGGTCAGCCGGTCAGCCATCTGGCCCCAAGCGATAAGGAACCCGCAGCTGGCCTGCTCTAATGAGAACATCCCGGTTGCTTAGGGAAACAGGATGCCTATAGTCAGTATACGTGCCCAATTTAGAATATCAGTAATTCACAGAAGAGACAACTCCCCCTATGAAAGATCCCAGCTTATCTGCTGTAACGTCATTTCACAAAGCTTTTGACGTACGACTATAAGTGCAGAGTAAGGTCAGGGTCCCTGGCTGCAAAACAGGATCTTTATATCCATAGATTAGGACAGGACATCAATTAACAGGATGTCTGTTCCCATACATCTGTGCTGGGAAAGGAAAAACCCCCTGTGCCCCTGGCCCCATTCCAACTGACCACTAACGATGCATTTGCTTCTGTAATCTGCTTCTGCTGCCCTCTTTCCTATAAAAAGACCTTCCCCCAGTCTGCAGGCGCGCTTGTCTTCCGAAAGACTAAGTCGCCCCAGGTACCTGTGTACTTAAGTACTTAATAAAGCCTCTTGCTATTTGCATCCGAAGAGTGACTCGCTGCTCCTTGGGAGGGTCTCCTCAGCCTGAAAGACTGCCCAGCACTGGGGTCTTTCAAGCTCAAGCTCTTGTTCAAATGCCGTGGGGCAGCTTCGTCTTCGTGGATGGCGTGCAGTATTTACACGAGGCTTTGAACTTCTACAGCCATGAGGGCACCTGCACATACCAACGAACACGGAGCTAGAAGAGCCGGGAGCCCTGATCAGCCTGTGCCTGAGATCCACACAACAGCAGGATTTTGTGCTGGAATAAACCTTAAACAAACCCTGCCCGACCCAGACCAAAGCCCTGTGTTGAAACTCCATCCCCTTCCCCTCACTGCCATTGCCCAACTCAGTTGCCCACTGTGACCTACATCCTGATAGCAAGGTCGAGACAGAGTCTAAATAGAAAACCGCCTTGTCTGGGTTTTGCATGTAGCCTCAGAAGTTGCACTAACTCCCCATTCCCCGAACTTCCTGTATAAACCCCAAGCATCCCCTTTGCAGACACCCCTTTCCCTGTTGTGTCTGCCCCCCACCATTTGAACAAACAGTCCAGGCTGTGGAGGCCAGTTTCAGTCTATCTTCTGTCTCTTTAGCTGCCTTGGAAATCTAACGCCTTGCCTCTTCTTTTGTTTGTTTTTTCAAGGCAGGGTTACTCTGTGTGGTGGCCTTGGCCTTGGTAGACCAGCCTGGCCTTGAACTCACAGAGATCCACCTGCCTCTGGTTTACAGGTTGTCGCCACAACTCAGTTTAAGTAGCCCTAGGGATTGAATCCAAGGCTTTCTGTGCAAGGCAAGCAAGCGCTCTACCAACGGAGCTGTGTCTCCCGCCCTGGGTATTATTTATTTCTGTCTGGGTACAACTTTAAGACTCAGGCACTCAGAGCGTGGGTGCCTGGATCCAACCCTTCAGAGGTTGAGCTCCTGAAGCTCCTAAGTGAGGGGTGCACTCAGGCCGGACAGACGGCAAGTCTGAAGTGTTAGTGAGTTTTAAGCGGGGGATGGGGTGGGGTCTCCTGTGAACACTTTTCTAATAGAACACTGGGGCTCTGAACTTGTCCCCTTAATGGTTCATTTTCAAAAGCAACCTGAGGCCCAGCTACAAATGAACAGAAAATGATAGACTCCTGCTAATGCCTGCTTGTCTCGCTAACCCCCAAAGCTCTATTAGCCCAGCCCCCCAAACTTAAACTTTACAGTTGAAAACTGCTAGCAGCCAAGCTTTCCTGACAACTGGCAGGCATGGCAGTCATGTTTCTGACAAATTATAAAAGGAACAGGGCGGAAGACAGAGACTGAAATCAGCATAGTCCACGCTGCTTTTCCAAGTTTCCCAAGTCTCCCGCTGGGCTCTCGGCACCTGGAGGCCTCTGCCTCTGTCAGCAAGGTGGAGGGAGGAAGAGTACAGCAAGCAAATCCATCAGGTGCTTGTGGAGGCCCCTCTGGGCCAGAAGCCCCAAGCCCCTGACGTTTCTCCAACAAACCAGCAGCCCTGCCCCACCGCCATGCACGCGCATGCGCACACGCACAGAGGCGGCCTTGCGCACGGCCCCCCCAGCTCTGTTCCCCCACCTGGAAGTACTGGTTTTCCTGCGAGAGGCTCTCGTTGGACAGGATCTTGTTGATGGTGATGCGTTTGCCGCTCATGCCCCCCAGACCTGTGGGGATCAGAGAATGACAGGGAATCTTAGCTGCCTGGCTGGGTGTCCCATCTGAGTTACTTATTGGCAGGGATGGGGTGGGGGTGGTCTCCTACCCAGGGAAGCACTATACAGTCCTCTACCTACACCCACCATGTCCCTGAGCCAGGAAGCAGGTGTGGGCATCTCGTTCTCTCTGGCAGGAGGAGCCGACACCTAGGTGCCCCATTAGACTGTTAGCTGATCCAATACCCTATCCTGGAGAGAGCCCGCCTTTGACTCCAGCCCCACAGCCCAGAGGCTTCAGTGATACCCAAGTGCCTGCGGTCTGTTCTTCGGTCCCACCCCTAGGGATGGAAGCCAGGACCTCAGACACACCAGATAAGTATTCTGCCATAGAACCACATCTCCCAGCCAAGAAAGCATTCTTTTGAAAGTTTAATAATATGGATTAACTTAGCAGCGACCCCACCGTGTCCCTGTGAGGTAGCTGCTACTGCTAAAGGTGCGGAAACTGAGGCATAGAGGTCCATGATTCTTGAAAGCTCCACCCATACAAGTGGCCACACAGCAGGCTGGCTGCAGGACTGTGAGCTGTATATCTCGGCTTTTCGAGATAGGGTTTCTCTGTGTAGCCCTGGCTGACCTGGAACTCACTCTGTGGACCAGGCCTTGAACTCAGAGAGACCCTGCCTCTGCCTCTGGAGTGCTGGGGTTATAAAGCTGTGCACCACCACTGCTTCATATATTTGATTAAAATTTTTCCCTTTTAAATTTTTTATAGGGTCTCTCTATGTGGTGTGGGTTGGCCTTGAACCCACAATCTTCTGCCTCAGCCTCCCAAGTGCTGAGACCTGGTATATTTGATTTTTGTTTGATCTAGGAAGAGCCTGGCAGCTCTTCGCACATCCCAGGCTTGTGACACCACAGCATCAAAGAGATCAGAGCTATGGGGCCAAGCCTCATGCCTGGCAACCCAGGAGAAACCCGCCAGCAGGTCGCTAGCAGAAAAGGATGGCAGTCTCAAGTGGGTCTGTCCTTGACACCGGCAACACTCAGTTGCACTTCTTGGACAAGGAGGACGGTAGCATAAGCATTAACCAGTGGACTTTGAGCGTCAGATACTAGCCCAAGATGTGGCAAAAAGTAATTTAAGAAAAAAAAATGCCGAACGGGCCAGAGACAGTAGAGGTTATTGTTCAATGCTGTAATATGTTGGGTTCTAAGTGGTGAGAATGACGAAGAGGTCGGTCTATTTTACCACAGTAAGAGCGTGCAGAGGTGCCCTGGCTCTCGCACCCTGTTGGCTGGCGGGATCCTCTTTCTCATGATTAATTCAAGGGCAAAGCTTATCTCCAGGTCTGCCCTACTTCGGAGGGAGATGGAGTCTCCCTCCAGCCCCTGCAGGCCCTGCCAGCTGAAACCTCCACCGTCAGCACTGCTTCTCTCCTCCTCTTTACATTTCTGGGAGGTAGGGGTGGAGCAGAAGGGGGTGTGGCTTAGCAGTAGAGCTCATGACCATGAGGGAGGTCTTGGCTTCTATCCCACTGTTTTGAAAACACAAGCTCCTGGATGCAGATGACATGACAATCTGGGCTCCTTCAATCCCTCTGTATGTTTGGTACCTTTTCAAGTACTAGTTCTGAAGACATACTGTACCCTTTTCCCTTTTGGATGTCCTGGAAGTAAGGACCCCCCTGCCCCCACCCCTGGAGTGTGAGGATTACAGGTGAGCACCACCACATTGGGTTATGTAGGTGCTGGGGCTTGAACCCAGGTCTTTGTGCATGCTGGGCAAACACTCTACTACCTCTGCATCCCTAGCCATGTATGAATTTTGGTTTGGTGGTAGAGCTCAGTGTTCAGAGACAAGGTCCTCTTGAGGGCTTTCCGGGATTCCAGCTAAGGGTCTGTGACCACTCACTGTGGCAGTTTGAATGTAACTGGCCCCCATAATCTCAGAGGGAGTGGCACTATTAGGAGGTGTGGTTTTGTTGAAGTGGGTATGACCTGTTGGCAGAAGTGTGTCACTGTGGGGGCGGGCTTTGAGGTTTCCTATGCTCAAGATACTGCCCAGTGTATCAGTCAACTTCCTGTTGCCTGCAAGATGTAGGACTCTCAGCTACTCTCCAGCACCATGTCGGCCTGCATGCACCATACTCCCTGCCATGATGATAATCGACTGAACTTGTGAAACTGTAAGCCAGCCCCCTCAATTAAATGTCTTTATTTATGAGAGTTGTCATGGTCATGGTGTCTCTTCACAGCAACAAAAACCCAAACTAAGACACTCACCCTTGAACATAACGGCCTCCCCGTGGCCTTCCTTCTGCTTCTCTCGGAAGAGTTGGTAGCAGGCTGAGGTGCTGGCCATGAGCAGCCGAAACCCCTGCAAGAGATGACCCAGTGGGTGACACTGTCAGGGAGAGAAGGTGGCCAGGATGTGCGAGGGACTAGGGCCCTGGCTGCAAAGCACTGCATGCCTCCCATGCTGGGTGTCACTGGCTTCCTGTCTTTCTTAGGACTGTGTCACACTTTTCTTCTGTCCTGGACAACAGCATCAGGTAAAAGTACAGACCCCAAAGTGACCTGAGATGTCAGGAAAGGACGTCTCCAGAGGGCTAGGCAGCTCGCAGAGAACCCAGGGACACACAGTGGCAGACAATCCTTTCATTTCAAAAAAGAACAAACTTGCCCAGAGCCTTTGGCCCAACCCCGTTCCCTAGAGTGTTCTGACCAATGAGCCTTTATCTAGGTGTGACTGCTGAGCACATGCATGGGTAGTCCAAATGGAGATGGGCCTAAAAGTAGACTAGGAAGATCTGGCTTGAAAAAAAAAGGATAGAAAATAATAATTTTTGCATGGGGCTGGCATGGTTGGCAAAATGCTTGCCCCAAGAGTATGAGGACCCGAGTTTGGGTCCCAGGATTCACTATGGGGGGAGAAGAAAGCCAGGCACTATGGTGTAATCTCAGCGCGGGGTGGGGTGTGGGGTGCTGGGAAGTGTGGTTTGAAGAAGAATGAGCCCTCATAGGGGGCACAGGAGCATGACTGTCTCTTTACGGGTGGCATGGGTTGTATGTGCTTGGAGTGAATCTAAGGGGAAATATCCCCTGTCTCAATGCACCCTAGTCTTGGGGACCGGCTCACCTTCGTGCCTGGGATGGGGACGAAGGTCATAAACTCGTCTACGTGGCCTACAGTCAGCCAATCAGAGTAGAGTTCCACGGGCGCCTGCACCTGCTGGGCCTGTAGAAAGTCACGCACTACCTTGGTCATCCTCCGGCCTCCAGACCTAGGGCAGGGTTGGAGAAGAGGAGTCTTTTAGAAGGTTATCCCTGTGCCCCTGCATCAGAGCACTCCCAGGGTGAGACGTTCAGCATCTGGAACCCAGGCGCCATCTGGGTGAGCACAGGTGGGAGCCTGAGCTGAGACCCTGGTGCAGGCAGAAGGTACTGGAGTCCCAGGCGGGAAGATGGTGCACTGGCCACAGTCAAACCTATGCGGAGGGCTTAGAGCTGAGCCTTTGCCCTGGGGTTTGCCAGTGAGCAGCTGAGGTTGGCTCCCGTGCTCAGCATGGAATCGACATGTCTATGACTTTCACCATCTCCTCTGAGGCAGGGCAAGGGCTTGGCGCTCCACTGAAGCACAGTAAGTAGCTGCTGAGCATATGAGTGACCACTGAATGGGCAGGGTAGGTTAATGGTCACTATCCATGTCTCCATAGACAATAGAACATTCTAGGTGGGTCAAGAGACTTGATACTCGGATCCTGGGTGACCTCAGGTTTCAGGCAGCTCTTGAGAAGTGAGGACCCAGCCTGCTTACTTTCTCCCAGCAACTGTTTGGATCAGGGTAGAATTGGCCTTTCATTCATTGAGCAGAGAGTACAGTTATCGTGGACAGCCAAAGGAGCCAGAGACTCACGCCTGTGAGGCGGGGCCATGCCTCGCTCTCTTCATTTACAGGGAGCCCCCACTCTCCCACTGTCCTCTGGCAGGGAGCCCCCACTCTCCCACTGTCCTCTGCTAGGGTGCCTTCGCGAGGTTCCCACGCCCCTTCCCATTCTGGCCTACATCTCACCACAACCCTCCCATTTATGGAAGAGGATTACTGCGTTGCATATTAGATCTTAATTTATACTTAGATGTAAAGGCTAAAGTGGCTTTCTTTCCATGAGTGGCTATTGATTTGCAGCGCATCGCGACAGGGGCTCTTACCCCCTTAGAGTCACTCCAGCTACATACACCCCAGACCACCCCCAAAGAGACAGCCATGCTCTTGTGCCTGCCACCCCCAGGCCCGCCCTGGGTTATCTTACAGAGGGAAACTGCTCCCGATGAGGATCCGGCCAAGAGGGTACGCCTTGCCGTTCACCGTCACTGGGGGACTGACCTCCAGATTCCCAAAGGAGTCGAGGCTGGTGACTTTCTCAAAGAGAGGCTCCCGGGTCACATAGCCAAAATCCGGGCCCTGGGCACAGAGAGGGTATACATCTGCCTTTAGCCTCCTGCAGCCAGGAGCCCTCTTCCCCAGCAGCCATGCTGTGGTGACAGCTGGTGAGGTCTGCAGCCCCGAGCTCTGGATTCTCCACCTCAAGGATGGCTGCTACCCGAGGCTAGCTCATTGCCTTAGGGAGTCTATGAGAGGTCTGACACAGCGAGGGAGTAAGTGTGGGTGCCATGTGAGGGAGTGCACTCCATCTCTGCCTGGGCCCTGGCCCCTAGGCACAGGCACACAATGTGATATCAATATCTGGCCTCACAGGTTCTGGTGACCTTCCTGGCCACCTCAGAATCTCCCTGGCCCTGGGTTTCCATTTCTGTGAGAAGCATCTTCAACCAGGAGGCCCCAGGCAAGGTGGTGAACTGATCATCCCAAGGCTTTTCTAGACCTGCCCAGAAAGAGAATGGTGCATCCAGTCCCACTGCAAATGCCTTCGGGCATCTCCCTACAAGGCACTCAGGGTCACATGACTTGCTCTGGCCAATGGACTATGAGCAAGATAGGAGGCTGGCAGGCCCACTCTCTCTTCTTCCTACAGGAGGGGAAGGACAGTTCTCGGCCTGGCTATAGCTCTAGAATGAGGGCAAAGAGACAGCCAGGCATCAGTTCAGGCGGTGAGCAGCAGGAGGGACTAGTTGCTGTTGGTTACTAGGTTAGGGGGCTTGTTGGTCACTGCAGTCTTACCTAGTGACAGCTGACTGACAGTCACTCCTACCCAGCCCAAATATATATATATTCCATTCATTCTTTTTTGATTAAAAATGTAGTGATCTTCTTTGGCAATTTGTATTAGAGCAGGGAGTAACTTGTGTGACCCAAAAAAGCCAAACCAACCAACAAAAAGACCCTGTGTGGTAGGCAGATAAGGCTTACACTGACTGCCTCAGCTGAGAGGCTCAAGGGACAGGCATGCCCCGTGGGGTGGATGGCAGCAGCTTAGCACTTTCTCACCTGGGGGCCCTTGTTGGCCATGTGTGAGCTGGCCACAGGTGGCAGCTGGGGCTTTACAGTATCACACAGGCCGGCAGGCACGTAGCACAAAGCCGGGCCTGGCCCAGCCTCTGGGAACAATGCAGTCAGGCCTTGGCACCAGGCCAGGCTGGAGCCCTGAAGACAGCTGGAGCCCAGGGGAAGAGAAAGGACATGGCTGGGAAATTGGTTCTTGTTCCTGCTGCCTGTTAGCCCTGGGGTGGTCAATTTGATGGCCCTCTCCCCTAGTGTCAGGGAAAACGAACAGTACCCACATGGAGGGCCTCTGAGGGCAGCCTCCAGACCACAATGGCCACTGACGAGGCCTAGTGACAATGCCTTGATTGAGTAACAATCTTGGGTAAAACCCCTGTCTTCCAGAAGCACACACTGAGGTTCATGTAAGTTCAAAAGCATGCCCGAGGTCCCCTCTTTGATACAGGGTGCTGTTCAAGGTCAGGTTTCTCTCTCATCCCAGAGTGGGGCTTGCATGATGCTTCTGACACCTCCACAGAGGGGACTTGGGCTGGGTCACCTCTGAATGACCTGACATCTATAGTAGGATCTGTCCTTCATGTGACCGTGGGAAAGCCAGATCTGCTGGTGTCTCTGTAACATGTCCCACACGGGCTTCTGGCTCAGTGTGAAGGGCAAAGATGCAGAGAGGCAAATTTCAGTCCTCCACATGTCTCGAAGCCACAAAGTCGGGGTGACAATGGCTTCCAGGATGGGGAGGAGTCACTGAGATTCACATCCACAAAGTTCTGGTGAGTGTTGACATCTATAGGCTTCTGTTTTGCCTCCTTGAGACCCCCATAATTACAAGTTGGAAGGTTGGGGCAGCAGCAGGGGCCAAGGCCTCTGTGCCTGGGTCTTGCTCTGCTTCCCATGGTTCTCATTTCCCACAAGACAACTCTCCCAGTTTAGAGACTGCATTGGACCTCAGGGCCCACAGACCCATCTTGCAGATGAGAAAACAGAGGCTCTGCATGGAAGACTATAGTTATTTTTGGGTGCCCCATATTTCTTGACTGTGTTGTCCTCTAAGAGTCCCCACTGTCACCCCCCAGGTGGCCCCCAGCATCTTACCAGGAGCTGTTTAATTGGGAAGTCCTTCAGGTTTCCATCTCGAGGGGAGTCTAGCACCACCGGGAAGCCTTTGTGGGGTGCCTCAATGTAGCCAAACTCAATTTCATCCTGTGGAAGAGAACAAGGAGGGCTTTCAGCTGTAGTGGTACCCAGGGGTGTCTGGAGCAGGATGGATGGGGCGGTAATCCCAGCTAGATGTGGGGGCAGAAAGGGGAGGCTGGAGAATATGAGGTCAGCCTGGGCTATATATTGAGACCCTGGTTTAAAAAACTTACGCACAAGGGGCTGGGACTATAACCCAGGTGCTAGAGTGCTTGGCTAACGTACATCACCAAGTCCTAGGTTCGAGCCCCAGGGCTACATACACTGAGCACGGGTGCCACATGCTTATGTAATCATGTAATCGTAGCACCTGGGAGGTGACTGGAGGAGGAGGATAAGAATTTCAAGGTCATTCTCTACGACACAGTGAGTTCAAGGCCAGCCTGGGAAATGGGAGACCTTGGTGCAGAACCAACAAACATAAAAAACACAAGCAAACTAGGCGTGGCCTGTGCACCTGTAACCAGCACTCAGAAGGCAGAGACCAGGAGCTTGAGAGTGTAAGGCCAGCCTGGGCTATGAAGTGAAAACCTGACTCAAAAATCCAAACAAAAGCAGAGCCAGGGAGATGGCTCAGCAGGTAAAGGAACTTCCTGGCAAACTTGACGACCCGAGTTTGATTCCCGGGACTCACAAGATAGAAGGAGAGAAGCAGCTGCTCCAAGTTGCCCCTGACCTTCTCCGTATGTGGGTTGTGGTGTGTGCACCATCCCAATAAATCAACACAATAAGGAGATCTACCACAAAACGAACACAAAAGAGCTTGGCTTGGGAAGCATGTCTCATCCACAGTCTGCCTCTGGCCCCAACTCTCCTGGTAAGAAGCAAATGACGGCAGGGCATCTTCCCACAGATTGCCTCTGCCCATAGCAAAAGGCACACAATGATCTTGTAGTGATACTGACCTTATTTAAAACACATAAATAGCTATATCTTAAATATATTTCCTTCCAAGAAACAGCTCAAGAGTATTCTGTGTCTTCAGTCACAGGCTGACCTTTTTCTTTTTATCTGCCACAGAGTACTCCCCGTGAGGTTATCACCAGCCCCCAAGAATGGATACAGATTATTTTAGTCTAGGCTGCCACTAGAAGCCACACTTGTTCTCCCCAAGTCTCTATGCACACGAGCAGACAGCGGAATCCACACACCCATAAGTAGTAGGTACCAGGGTGTTGACAGCAAGCCTCTTTGAGTCAGAGCCCTGCTGCATCCTTCCCCTGGGCCCAGCCAGGCCCCTCTCACCTGGATCCAGCGGTCTCCGCGGTTCATATACTGGAAACAAACTTTCAGTTCGCAGCTGGTTTTCTCCACCAGGTTCTTCACCTCTTTCAGGAACAGGTAATTGTCCTTCATGCTGAGGAGTATAGGCAGAGGACAAAAGGAAGAGTTGGGGGGGGCACACACAAGTGTCACCCATCTTGGGTGGTCGCAGCTGCTGTCACTCTGGACTGAGTTGTGGTGATGAAGCCCTGCCTGTGCCCATAGCTACTTTGTAAAGGCCACTGGGGCCGTGGGCCACATAAGCCCACCCACTTACACAGTTTTTGCCAAGGTCACATGGATAGATAAGACAAGGAAGGGACCTAGGACCCCGACATGCTCTCTGGCTCCCCAGAATTTAGAAAGTGCTGTCCCTGCGGTATGGGAAATCCTGGCATGAAAGGCAGGGTGGACAGAGGACCCCTCTGGAACTGTCAGCCATACACATGTGGATCTTTCTTGCCCTTCCTGCTCATCTTGATGTGCCAACCAAGCAGAGTAGACACTCAGTAAAAACTGCTGAATGAGCGAGCAAGATGAGCCAGGAACCTAGTCATACACAGTAAGGGCTCTGAGTGGGAAGAGGAGGGGGAAACATGGCCTTTGTGACATACAGCTGGAGCCAGGATAAGTGTATAGACGCAGGGGCATCATCTCAGCCCTCACAGCAAGCCTGTGGTTTGTGCATTTAAGAGAAACTGAGGCACAGAGAGACCACATGAGCTGCTGCAGGTTGAATAGCTGCTAAGCGGCAGAGGCAGAATTGGATTTAAGTCAGTCGGACCCTGAAGCCCAGCTCTTGGCCACTCTGCCACACTGCCTTGTAGACCAGACCATGCCTGCCCCTTACCAGCACACAAACACTGTGACGGGAGGCAGGATGTTGGGGGTCATAATCCACGGTGCAATCCGGAACGTCACAGTGTCTGTGAAGATGGGTGTCAGTGGGATGCCCTGGGTGTGGGAGAGAAGAGGAGCACCAGTGAGCCACATGGGGTACCTGTGGTCCCTGCTTCCCTCTCGGTGGGTGAGACCGACAATGCATTTACTGAGAGCACTTACTGTATGCTGGGAATGGTGCCAAGTATTGTTTCTATGTGCATGTACAGGTCTATGTTTCTCTGTGTGTACGTGTGTGTGTGCGTGCGTAATGCCCATGATGGCTAGAAGAGGGCATCAGATTCCCCTAGAGCCAGAGTTACATGCAGGTGTGAGCAGCCCGGTGCCAATCATGTGGTTGCTGGGGAGTGAAATCCACACTTTTGGAAGAGCAGCAAGTGCTCTTAATTGCCGAGCCATCTCTCCAGTTCCATATCCCAAGTATTTTTGCCTGTACCAATTCATTCCCAGGGGAGAGATGCTACTGTAATCCTTACTTTTCAGATGCACCTATCCTGCACACACGCTTTGTCCATCATAGTTACCAGGTCCGGGCCAGGGGTATCGTTACACAGGGGAGGCATGTGGCTCTCACCTCGGCCATATACTCCAGCAGACTGACGTGGATGGAAACCAGGCCCGAGAAGCTCTCGTCGGGGAAGCGGAGGCCTTCCACGAAGAACAGCAGCTCCGCAGAACCACCCGTGTACTTCACCACGTGGAAGAGCTTCTGCCGGCCCAGGATGTGAATGTAGCGTTGGCCGAAGAAGGGGTCTGTAGGGGATGGACCCATGTTAGGACCCTCTCCCATCAGGAGGTCAGGGGGCTGGGGGCAAGGGGCAGAGTGACTGGTCCTTTAGACACAGAGAGGTGCACAGTGAGAAACAGCACAGGAGGGTGCGAACTGGTCATTGTCATAGTCTGGGCACACTGAGTGCCAGCTGACTTCTGGCTTCCTCGTCTGGAAAACAAGCTGCCTGGGGAATGAGGGCGGATGGGAGGGCACGGTTAGCATAGCAGTAGGGAGGTGTCAGTCCCATTTTACAGAGGAGGAAACGAACTCAGAAAGCAGAAATGGCTGGGCAGGGCCAATAAGTCACATCTAATTCCAAATGCCAAGTTCCTATTCTTTTTGTATGGATAAGACATGAGTGTGCCATTTGTTTGAGAAGGTTTCCTCTGTATCGTGGAAGCTCCGCTGTGTAGATTTAGGTGGGAAGGAAGGCGCTCCTGCCCCATGAAACCGCCAGCCCTTTACAGTGACTTCCCCTCTGCCTGGAAGACCTGTGTCCTCAACCCTTCCGGGAGTCCTTTGTAGATTCCTAGAGAGCAAGCCAGGGTCCATTCCGCATTGCAGCCTGTATAGAAGGTGAGAGACGGCCCTGCCAGGCCATCTGCCTGTCTGGCACATGTTTAATGAAGGTTTGTTGAATGAAGCAATGGCTTCCATCAGTATCCACAGGAGAGGCCCATGGGGGATTTCAGAGCTGGTTCAGAGTTCATGAATTGAATTACTTGGGCCAGCATGAACAGGAGTCAAAGGCCACGGGGCAGCCTCTGTGTCTAAGAGATGCTCAGTGGTGATAAGACAGCGGATGTGGGGAACATCTAACGGCAGTGTCACGGAGGAGAGATTGTCCATTACTCAGGGTGGGGAAGGGCAGGGAGGCAGGGGAGACTTCTGAGAAGAGGGAAGTGACTTTGAGATGCTCATGTGGGGCAGCAGGGTGCCTGCGAGGATGTGGAGGGAAAGAGATACTTGCATTGGCAAAGGCCTGGAGATAGGACCCTACACAGTTCCACAAGCAGCTTCCTTAGGCCCTGCAAAGCTGGAAGGGCAAATCAGGTTCAGTTTAGCGCTTTTGATGATAGTACAGCAGCTAATGACCGGCTGCCCAAGGGTTAGAACATGAATCGGGACCATTCCCAGTCCATAGCGCTAAAATCTGCCAAGTCCAAAGTACCCCAAAATGCAGGCTTGAGACAGCATCTGCTTTAGGACAGGGTGCTCACCTGGACCCTGATTATGAATGGTACCATGAACAGGTGACCTTTTTGTCTTCCCAAGTCAGAGGGACCTCAGGCCAGGCATCCTCCAGACTTGACAAGTTACAAACTTTCTGTGAATCCCGTTGATCTCTCAAACAGGTCACTCAATTGCTAACTTGCGGACAGAGGCGATGTGGCATACGGAGGTGGGTCTGGTGGGAGGATGCGTTCTGCGCAGTGGCTGGCAGCTGGTGGCTTTCTCCTCCCCTTGAAGCCTATGCCTTGTGATTCACAATGTGTCTCTATTTGGGGCTGCTTTCTGGCAGTTAGTGCCAGCACCAGGCGGATTGAATCTCACGCGGAAACAACATAGCCCTTGTTTCAAAGAACCCCGGCTTGGTGCAGAGCCTGCCACCCTCGGTATGGCTGCCTGTCCCTGCAGGCACCGACGATGCATATCTATTGAGTGGCTCTCCAGCCTTGTGCTGGACCTGCCAGCCACCCCTGGCCTCTCCTGATGCCCAGTACATGGCCCGATTTGGCACAACCTTTCCAGTTGCAAAGAGACGGATAGTGTGACTGTCTGTCCTGGCCTGTCTGGGATGGAAGGGTGTCTTGGCATAACAGGCCTTCCGTGCTGAAAATCAGGGAGGTTCCGGACAAATGGGGACACGTTGTTTACTTTGTCCTTGGAGGAAAAGGTGAATCCCCCAGTTTTGGGGGTTTTTAGGGAGACTTGAGACTGGAGGAGCAGGTTTCTAGGTCCTCCAGGGAGCACTGGAGATTTCTGTCATAAAAATCACCAGTTCATATAATTCCAATCAAAGAAATAGCTACCGTTATACAGAGTACAACTGTTGTACTGTTGTACATGGGCCAGTGTGACAGTGGGGACCCCTCTGCGGTCCATGCCACCCCACAGAGGAGGACCTCAGTGATCCCAGAGTCTGGCTCCTGACCTTGTGGGGAACTGGACTGTCTCTCCTAGGACACAGGTCAGGACACTGAAGTAATATGACACATTACACACAAGGTACTCAGATTCCAGCAAAATTCCCCATAGGCTCATATGGAAGAAAAGAATATTGGAATCAGAGAGTAAGATTAATTGTCCCTTTTGCCAGGCCCTTGTGACTCAGAGTATTCTCCTGTGCCATTGTCTGTTTGATACAATGTAGACTCACTTGAGAAGGAGAAGTCTCAATGAGGAACTGTCCAGATCAGGTTGGCCTGTGAGTAAGCCTGTGAAAGTTATCCTTAACTGGTTAGCTGAGGTGAGTTAATGTGGGTGGTACCATTTCATGGACTGGACCCTGCATTGAATGAAATGAAAAAGGAGCTAAGTTGCCAAGGTGGCTTCCCTGCCGTGATGGACAGGTACCTGGAGCTGTGAGATTGAGTAAGCCCTTTTTCTTCGAAGTTGTTTTTGCCAGAGTACCTTATTAGAATAAGCAGGACATGCAACCAAGACACCTGGAGTCCATATCTAAGGGAAACTGATTAGGGAGGCAGACCCAGGAGCCATCTTCCCTGTGGGATGGTGGCCGAGCTAAGACATCTAGGGGGACACCCTCCATCGGCTCTCAGCAGGAGCTTTTTCTTGCCTGCTCAGGACTCAGTGAAGTAGAGAGGTGGGAGTGGACCCAAGCCTGGGTATACTCCGGTTAGCAAAGCAAAGAAGCATCTAGAGAATGCCCCAAGTCAATGCCCAGGCTGGGTCAAAGCCCCAATTAGGTCCTCCTGGTCCCCTTCTGTCACATGGCGACTCTCAACTGGACCCTGCAAACATCAGCTTCTCAGCCTCCTGGGGCAGCGGAGCCAGCCTGACTTCAACCGTCTGTCAGAGCCCAGAGAGGAGGATCATAGGCCTGTGCACTAGTGTCCCAGCTGAGTCCCTCCTTGAGGTTAGGGTCCTGCATAGTGACTGCCTGTTTCTAGTGGATCTGTCCAGAATGGGTCCCACGGTGAGGCCCGAGGCTCAGGCTCCAGACAGAAGGTCCCATAACACCTGACAAACTGCAAGATGCTTCACAGAGAGACTCTTAGCGTGGGTAGAAGATCTTAACAGTTCTGCCCCAAACCCTCTGGGGCTGGGGATGTGGCTCAGGTGTAGAGTGCCTGCCCAGCATGTACCAGGCTCTGGTTTGATCCTCAGCACCACATTCTAGAGCATGAGGGTGGTGCGTGGCTGTAATCCCAGCACTTGGGCAGTGGCTGCAGAAGGTTCACATGGTCAAGGTCACCCTCCCTTCCCTACAGATGGAATTAGAGACCATAGAACCCTGTCTCAACAAACAAAAACAAAACCCCTGAGTGACTCTTCGCTGTGCTAAGAATAAAACGCAAACCCTCCCAGCTTTTTTGGCTGACTCTCTAAGCACAGCCCCCTCCCAGGCCTAGTCTTTCTGCTTCTCTAAAGCACTAACCCAGTCCCCTCTTCTAAGCCTGCTGTACACTGTGCCTTAGCTTGTTCCTCCCCAGCCCCTCCTCAGCTCCTCCCTATCCCCTCCCCAGCTCCCCCAACTCCTTCCCAGTTCCTCTCTAGCCCCTCCCCAACTCCTCCCCTGTTCCTCCCCAGCTCCTCCTCAGCCTCTCCCTCCTCCCCAGCTCCTCCCCAGCTCCTTCTCATTGTTTCCTTAGAGTTTCATCTCTAATGTCACTCCCAAGAGAGGCCTCTCAGGACCAAGTAGCCAGCTCAGTCTCTGTGCTAAAGCTCCCTGGGACCTTTCTTGTGACATGTCTTCCTCACTCGGGGCAGCTCCTCCAGGGCAGAGGGGGTGAGGGGAGAGTTATGTTTACTGTATTGGCTCCCAGGTGGTTCTATGGCACAAGCAACATTGTGGCATTCAGGACACCATGTCACCACCAGGAGGAAGAAGGGCAGCTGTGGCATCATCTCCAAGGACCTTTGAAAGTCAGAAGTGCCAGACAATACCTGGAGGAAGTATATATCTGGCCTCAGGTATCATGAAGGCAACAGGACTCTGACTTCAAATGCCCTTCCTCCCCTGGCCACTGGAGAGAAGTGTGTGGACACAGGCCATTGACTCTCCTCAGGGGAGAAGAGATGTGTATCTGTAACTCACTCTGTGGGCTCCACAGCCCAGGGCACCTGTGCAGAGAGAAGTCAGTGGCCACAAGGGCTTTGGGTGGGTGGAGGACATGATGGTCACTCACTCTCCACGTAGAACACGCCCACTTTGTCCGAGTCCGACATGGAAATATACAGGACTATCTCGTACCCAGCGGGCAGGCGGTCAGGACCTTTGGTCCGCAGGATCATCTGAGACATGTCCTTGAGGTCTGTGGGTAGAAAAAGGGGGTTAGGAGGAGGGCCTGAGGGAGCTGGTCTCGCCACGGCTCTTACCCTTCCCACCAGGATGTATGCATCTTTGGAACTACCCAGAAACTAAGGGAAAGAAGCTTATCTCCCGCCTGGGAGAACTGGTCAACTCTTTGGGAATTCCTTCTCTCTAGTCTTGTTTTCACATAGATTAGGCTGGCCTGGAACTCACTATGTAGACCAGGCTGGCCTTGCACTTAAAGAGATCTGCCTGCCTCATGTATGTGTGTGTATGTGTGTTGTGTGTCTGTCTGTCTGTATGTCATGGTGTGTGTATGTGTGTGTGTGTGTGTGTGTGTGTGTAGGTCAGGGAACAGCTTGCAGGAGTCTATTCTCTCTCTTTATCTCGTGGGTTCCAAGAATTGAATTCAAGTCATCTGGCTTGGTGACAAAGTGCCTTTACCTTCTGAGCCATCTTGCTGGCCCCTCCAGGGTTTCCTCTACCCATGCATATAAAGGTGCAGCTGAACTGTATTTACATATCTGAGTGCTAACCGTTTGAATCATTATTTCCTGCCTCACCCCCTGCCCTGCCCCAGACAGGACACAATGTTCCCGTCACCCCGCAGGGTGGCCCCACAGGCACCTTCCTTGCTGTAGACCTTTTCATCACTACAGTCCTCCATGGGCAGCCAGGGTGTGTCTCGGTCACAGTTCACCAGCAGGATGGCCCCCTGGCCTTCGGGACCCCAGGTCCAGGACGCCTGCAGCAGCAGAGACACAGGTTAGTGCCTTCCCTGGTTCAACCCAAGGGCACTTTCCTGAGAGACAGACATGGTTAGGAGTAGTTCCTGCCCACTGGGACAGCAGCTGGGACCTGGAAGGCTTGAAGGGCCCAGAAAGGACCCATATGATCACCCAAGTTCAAGAGCGGAGAGACAGGAAGGCTGAACAGGGCATGTGGGCCTCAGCTCTGGTGTGAGGTGACCATGCCTGGCAGAGATGGTGGCAAGAACTGGCCTTCTAGGACAGGCTTGAGGTGACTGATTCCAGACACGCTCTGAATGCTCCCAAGGGGGCTGCCACCTTGCCCTGCTTTCTGTCCTGCAGCCACAGGGCCCAGAGCAGACTCCAACTGGATCACACCACTTCCCTGTTTGAAGCCCTTGCTGTCAACTCAGATAAAGCCTGGATTCTCTGGTCTTCCAGAGGCTGGTGAGACGCATGGCCTTTGCATCTGGTCTCTTCATCCACTTTTCCCCAGCCACACGAACGTCCTCTGTACTCTAGGAGTTCCCAGACCTTTGCCACGCTGGTCCCTCTTCCCCAGTCAACTCCACCACTCTTCCTAGACTCAGTGCACCTGACCCTCCTTTAACTTTATTCATACAGGGTCTCACTAAACAGCCTTGGCTGGCCTAGAGCTCTCTATATAGACCAGGCCTGCCTCTGCCTCCTCAGTGCTGGGATTAAGGGTGTGTGCTACCACAACTCCCTGCCCCTCTAATTTTAAGAGAAGAGGCCTAAGAGGAACAAATGCCTTCCCTGGACAGCCTCTGTCTCAGATGCAGTGATTCTTCAGACCGCTCTGTGACCCGTGCCAGGGAAGCTGATCCTACAGCGAGCCCGGCTTGCTGGGGTCCCTCCCTGTTGTGCAGCATCTGCATCCAGCTTTGACCTTCAGCCTCCCGCCTTGTGAGATGGTAGCTGACCGCTTTGGTACACAGCTCTGCCTGAATGCACCGTGCAGTCCCTGCAATGCCCTTCAGGTCTTCCCATGCCAGGGTCCGGACAGCTGCCCCCCTGCAGGCCAGTAACCTTCTTAGGGTTGTTCTTCTCCACCTCGCCATCCCGGTCTGCATCCACGTCCAGCGAGATCTCTGCAGGCAAGAGACCAGTGTGAGCTGAAGAGCCAGTCAGATAGTGAGAGGTTGGAGGAGCCCAGTGGGAAATGGGGCATCCCCCCACCCCCCACCGTTCACTTGGCTGCTGGGAGAGGGCCTTGCCGAGGTCATCATCTCCCGCTCACATGCTACCGCCTCCAGGGAACCTCAGCAGACACATAAAGCTTTGGAAGTGGGGGGGAGGTGTCCCTGCAAACCCTGGTTGGGGTGGTAGGCTAATCCTCAAGTCACCTGCCCAAGGTCACAAGTGGTATTAATAGAGTCACGGGGGGCCACGGTGTTTCGAATTCCTTCTTCAGGCCTTTCTCGGGAGCATCTGTACATACACATGGCTGTCTGTCTGTCTGTCTGTCTGTCTATGTTTCTATCTCTGGCTTTCTCTCTTTTCCCTCTCCCCTCATTTTATTTTTGTTGTTGAGAAGAAGTCATGTCTTTAGCCCCCATCCACCTAAGGGAGCCTGTGATGCCAGCTTCAGATAGGCCAACTAGGGCAGGGTCCCCGTGGACCCTTTCTCTTGGGGGAACTTCGGCATTCCAGAAGCTCTCATGGGAAGGCTCTGTGGAGCCTGTGGGGCAGAGAGGAGGTTCAACATGAGGTGGTCTTAGGCTGGTGCCGTGGAACAATCCTTCTGTACACTGTGAATATGTATTACTCTCATTGGTTAATAAAGAAGCAGATTGGCCTATAGCAAGGCAGGATAAATTTAGGTGGGACAATCAAACTGAGGACATGGCGATGAAGAAGGGTGGAGTCAGGGAGACGCCAGCCAGCTGCTGAGGAAGCAGGATGTATTGAGAATGAGGTAATGAGCCATGTGGAGAAGCATAGATAAGAAATGTGGGTTAATTTAAGCGTAAGAGCTAGCTAGTAACAAGGCTGAGCTACCAGCCAAGCACTTCTAAATAATATTAAGCCTCTGTGTCAGTTATTTGAGAGCAGGCGGTCAGGACAGGAAAACTCCGCCTACAGATCAGAACTCTAGTTCTCCAGTTATTAGCTGTGTGACTCTGGGCAGGTTCCACAGCTTCTCTCAGCTCCTATCCCCTCACCTCCAGCATGGGGTTCTGGTTTAGCAATTGTGCCAATGGAAACAGCTGGCACTTTCTGAGCCATACGAATCCATGTGTGGGACTGTTCTGGGTGTGGGTGTTTAGTGGCATCCTGGCCACCGCCTGCAGGATGCCAGTAACATTTCCCATGCCTCCAGCTGTGGTCTGACAGCCTGGGGAGGTAAAACTGCCCCAAGTTAGAGGATGGAGGGAGGAGGGTGAGGTGTTGCTGGGGAGGTATGGGAGGACTCCCAGCATGAGATGTGAGGCTTCCAGGCCTTGAGCTGCCCCAGTGAGCATGTCTCGTGATAACTATGACTTCAACTATGGTGGAAGCCGTGTGGGAAGGAATGCACCTAGTCAGTACTTTGGCGGGCACACCTTCTTTGGGTGGAAGGAGGGTCCTTACACAGGGAGGGTGCTGATGGTACCCACCCCTGGTTGCATCAGCCCAACAAGGTCTAGAGTCACATTCATGGCTTCTTTGGTCCACAGTTCTAGTCCCACTGGCCCAACCATGGTTTTTGTGGGTGCGGAAGGAAATGGGAAGACCATGAGGAACTGGGAAGAGGCACTTTCTGGTGTCCCATCCTCCTGGACCTTCTGTAAGCCCTGCGCTACAAGGCCTCCCACTAAAGATGGCTATGCAAGACGCCCCGCCGGAGTACCTGCTGTAACTAGGCCCTGAGCGAGTGATACACAGTAGACATCATTAGGAGCCTGTGGCCCCAGACAGAAATACAATCACACCCATTTCAGAAAGGAACAAACTCAGGCTTTGAAGAGCCACTCAGCAGTCAGCAACGTGGCTCTTGAGTGAGGCTGGAGCTGGCAGATGATCCCGGAGCAGAGGGAGGCCCTCTAACCGCAGTGAGAGGCCGTGAGAGGCCGAGGTGCAGGGACAATGTTGACTTTGGCTCCCAACTTCACCAACTTTCCAGCCTGCCACGCCCCATTCCATGAACAGCGCTCTGCCAACTGTCGACGCTCTCCAGGGCTATTCTCCCTCTGAGAACTCCAGGAAGGAGACCCACATTGCCACGCAAACCAGGAGTCTGAGGCCACCCAGCAGGGAGGTGACACAGCACATACCCACATTCTTAGAGAGCGGGGTGGCCCTCTGACTCCAGACAGTTGACCCCTGGCTGGCCCAGGCTGCCATCAGACCTGGACAGCGTCCAAAAGCCAATCTCATCTTTAAAGTCCCAACCTGGGCTCCCCTGAAGGTCACTGGCCACATCCTCACAGTGGAGCCCCGTGACTTCATTTCTAGGCCACAAGGGAACATTGAAGTTCCTTATGGTGGGTCTCCTGTGTCTCCCATGCAGTGCATCATGGGAGATGATGAGGCACTTCAGGCCATACTGAAGGAAGGCTCTCCCTCCCTCCCTCCCTCCTTCCTCCCTCCCTCCCTTCCTCTTTCTTTCTACTGAAGGAAGGCTCTTCCTCTCTAACTCCCTCCCTCCCTCCCTCCCTCCCTCTTTCTTTTTACTTGTTTTTGTGCCCTGGCTGGCCTGAAACTCACTATGTACATCAGGCTGGACTCAAGCTCAGACCCCCTTGCCTATTTCTCTGGTTTCCTAGAGCAGCAATTGGAGGTGTGCACCACCACGCCCACCTCCTTTTTCTTTTTCTAAGTTTAAAGTTATGTGTACAGTTGTTCTGCCTAAATGTATGTCTGTGCCTGGTGCCTGGGAAGGCCAGAAGGCACTGGATCTCCTGGATCTCCTGGATCTGGACCTACAGATGGTTGTGGGCCATCGTGTGGGTGCTGGGAATCAAAGCAGGAGCCTCTGAAAGAAGAGCCAGTGTTCTAAACTGCTGAGCCATCTTCCCAGCCCGTATTTCCCTTTCTGATAGGGTCTGGCTATGTTGCCCAAACCTTCCATCCTCCTGTCTCAGTACTTCTAAGTACTGGGATTGCAGATGTGTCCCATTAAGCCTGTCTGAATCATTTTAAATCAACACACACACACACACACACACACACACACACACACACGGAAGCCAGAGGACAACTTTCAGGAGTTTGGAGCCTCTCCTAACAGGTGTGTCTCAGGGACCAAAGTTAGGTTATCGCTTGGTGGCAAGCGCCCTTGCCTGCTGAGCCATCTTTCCAGTTCCTTGAGCCCTAGGCTCACAAGCGCTGGGCAGGTGCTACACATACCTCCCCTGCAGCTCTGTCCCCAGCATTAAGATCTTTATCAGAGTGGTGCTTAACTTGGCACAAAGAGATAAATCAAACAGCCATGAATCCTTTAGGGCAGCAGCAATCCCCTCCCTACACTCTCCTCACCTCCCTAAGGTCACACCAGGCTTCTTGTTGCTTGTTGCTTCCTGATGTCTCTCTCCCTCCCTCCCTCCCTCCCTCCCTCCCTCCCTTTCCCCCTTCTTTTTTTCTTTTCCTTTTTTTTTTTTTTTGACTATGTATCTTTGGCTGTCGTGGAACTCTCTCTGTAGACCAGGCTGCCCTCAGAATCACAGAGATCCACCTGCCTCTGCCTCCTGAGTGCTGGGATTAAAGGCGTGCGCCACTGCATCCAGCCTGTCTCCTGATTTATTACTCTCTGAAGGCTCTGCCACCTTCCCATTATGAAATTTGTGCTTTCGCAGTCTTGCTCTTGGCCACCTCCTTCCATAGGACTTCTCAGTTCTCAGTTCTCTCAGGACCTCACTGACCCCACCGTCCACTGACTTCTCTGCTGCCCTCCAGCCTCCCCTGGACCTGCTCCCTGGCTCTGATGGGGTGCTGTCCATAGGCCAAAAAGGAGAGGCTGGAGCAGCCCTTCGGAGCTCTGCCCTCCCCAGGGGGAGGGGAACACACCTGTTTCACAGCCTCTGAACTCCAGACATTTCCCAGAGGCTCTGGGTCCTGCCTCAGCTACCCAGAATAGCCCTAAGGTGTCAGGTGGCGCCCCGGTGCCAGTGCCGGGGTGTGGGGCAGATTCATGGGAAATGTCACTAGGATTGAGTTTGAAGCCTTTGCCCTGGGAACCGAGACACCGAGGCTGTGGCTGCATTTTGGCAGGCGCCAGCTCTGTGGACTGTGGCTGTGTTGGCCCGGCCTTCTGACTTGTTCCAGGAGCTTGGGATACAGTGCGAGGAAGGGCTTTGGGGGCAGGCAGAGGAATGAGAACCTGCCATGGATGCTGAGGGCTCCAGAGCAGGGCTTGTGGGGGAGCTCAGGGTACTTGGAGAATTTACCCAAGGTCCTGAGGGGAGAAAAGCGCTGAGGCCCCTGGGCTAGGACCTCAGCAGGAGAGATGACTGTCCCCCACTTTTCTATCCCCCATCTTCATTATCCTCTGAAAGGTCCTAACTGGAGTCTTAAAGGTTCTTAGATATCAACTCAAATCCTCATTCTATAGCTAGGGAAAAGTGGAGCCCAGAGAGGGTGATCTACTTGTGAGGGCCACACAGCAGGGCCAGACAGATCTAGGGTCTGATTTGGCCAGGGGCTCCTTAGGTTTGTTCCCATGGTGCAGGACGAAGTCCTTCCAGGCATAGAGTAAGAGAAAGGGGAGGGAGCCTCTGCTCAGCACACACCACTCCCCTGACTCCCTGGAGACACCGTGCTAGAAAAGGCCCCTTTTGCAGATGGAGAAACTGAGACTGAGGGTGATGGAGTTGGTGCAAGATCACCATGAGGTGGACAGAGAAGGCAAAGCCACAGCTTATTCCTGCCTGTCCTGAGGCTCTTGGGGTTCAGTGTGGGCTTGGGACAGTGAGAGGTGAGGTACAGTCAGAACTGATTCTGTGGGGTCAGGTCTAGGAGTGTTCGGGGTGTTCTCCCCTCTTAGGTGCTACTTCTCATCACTCTTAGTGGAGATGCTGAGGGAGGAGAAGGTCAGGTGGGACATGGACCACGGTTGGAGGACCATGGGAAGACCACGGGTTGGCCACTGGTTCCTGCTAACGGAACAGCGGGACTTCATAGTGCCTGGTTTTTACACTGTGAATGGCTGCCTTTTATTCTGAAAGGATCCCCTGCCTGGGGGCTCTGCCACAGAGCTATAGCTCAGTCCCTCCTCTTCCTTTAGTTTGAAGGCAGGGTCACCCTAAGCCGTCTAGGCTGGCCTTGAACTCTCTTCTCAGCCCAGACAGTCTCCTGCCTTAGCAGGGATGAATGACAGGATGTGTCACTAGGCCCTACTTCCCTTTCTGCTTGGTTTGTGCTTTCCAAGACAGGGTTTCTCTGAGTTACAGCTCTGGCTGTCCTGGACTTCTCTCTGTCCCAGGCTGGCCTCAAACTCACAGAGATCCACCTGCGTCTGTCTCCCTAGTGCTGGGATTAAAGGTGTGCGCCACCACCACCTAGCCTCCCTTTCTGCTTTTTAAATGTAATTCATTTCTATACATTTTTTTTTTTGCGGTAGGGTCTTATGAAGTCCAGGCTGGCCTCGAATTTGCAAGGCTGGCCCTGAAATGTTCATCCTTCTGCACCTGCCGCGTGTGCCGCTACACCTAGCCCTTCCTGCTTACCATGTGGGGAGGCTAGGGGACAACTCTGGGGCGCTGGTCCTCTCTTCCACTGTGGTTCTAGGGATCACACTCAGGTTGTCAAGGTTACCCGCGGAGCCATCTTGCTCACCGGCTGCCTGCTTTAATGTCAAGATGGACGGTGATAGCTGAGGACAAACTGCTAACTTAATGGGGTTTCCCCTCTCCTGCAGACACCCCTCCTGGCACACGCCCTGGGGGACCCGCTGCTTCTTTGCCTCAGGCAGTTAGGTGTCACTAGGACAAACCTGAGCTCCTGAGCTCAGCCTTGAGTCTCGGGTGGCAGACAAGTCTGCCCCACCTCCTCCATTTACTCTCTGTCTGCCCTCCCCTTTTTCTTTTTTTTTTTTTTTGGTTTTTCAAGACAGGATTTCTCTGCAACTTTGGGTATCCTGGAACTCACTCTGTAGACCAGGCTGGCCTTGAACTTGTCTTTGCCTCCCTAGCGCTGGGCTCAAAGGCCCGCGCCACCACCGCCCTGGTGCTTGCCTCTCTTCAGTGCATACCCCGAGGGTGCTCCAGCATGGGTCACCTTCTTTGGCAGGTCCCTGGCCGCTGCCCTCCCTGCCTTTGTCTTCAGGTATCCCTGGCTCTGTGGGATTGGGTTGCCTGGGGGCAGTCATCTGAGACAGGTGGGGACTGTGTGTTTGCACACACCGCTCAGTCACATGCTTAGCTTGGCGGCAGCGAGGCTACCATCTCCCAAGTCCACCCTCTTCCCCCATCATTCCAAGGCCCTCTCACTCCTGGTGCAGAAGGAGGGACAGGACGACAGCACCCAGGCCCTGGGGAGATTGGCTGAGAAGCGAGCAATAGCATTGCTCCTGAGAGTCCGCCAGTCCCCGAAGGGTCACATGAGGCTGAAAGGAAGGGAGGGTCTCACAGAGAAGCCAGTTGTGCTTAGGGAGGTTTCATGACCCTCAGAGAATGAGATAACTGATGTGACTTGGTGCCCGAATAATCATTTCTAGGTGTAACCCAGGCAACCTTGTTTTGCTTTTTCTGAGCCTCAGTTTTCCCATCTGCTTAATGGGCACAGTATTGGGGCCTCTCCTTGTAACAGCTGAAAGGACAGATTGAAGTCATGGTGGGCAGGCATCCAGGTTTGGAGCCTGGCATACTGTGGCTACTCAACGAGTGTCCCATGTTTACCCTCCTCCTCTTCCTCTTCTAGCTCCTTCTCATCAAAGCCCCGAGCGCAGACCTAGCCACAGCTTGGTGTGTAGTGAGTGGGGACACCATTAGGATGGTGGTTCCCACCCTGTCATGTTCAACCACAGTTCCCTGGACAGAATGGGCTTCTGGATTCCTTCTTGCATGAAAACACCAGCAACATAAAACAGAAGGAGATCGCCTCTGCAGCAGGGACTGAGTGTTCAGAAGGTCACCTCCCTCTGCTCTGCTCAGCCTGCCGCACCCAGGGCAGGGCCCTGCAGGTGAAGAAGCCAGGGAATTTCTTCCAGTCTGGGCTTCCACCTGCCACACTGGTACTGTGTGACTGTGAATGAGTCTCCTAACCTCTCTGGGCCATACCGCACCATCCTTTGTGGACCGAATGAAGAGCTTGGACTGGATAAGAAGCCCAGACTACATCCGCGGTGGTAGTTAAGACTGTCAGGGGCAATGGGAGCTCCTGGAGTCTCCAGGCTGGAGGGTGTGTGTGTGGGGGGCGGGATAGGCTTTTCTCTTTCTCTCTGTAGCTCACAGTCTGTGAAGGGGATTCCAGGGCATCACCCCTCTACAGGATTTTGTCTCCTCTGAAAGTCCCAGTGTGTGTGCCCATGCATCGCTCAAATCCTGGCATTACTTGGAAGTGGCCCCAGGAGCAGGCCTCCCACACTGAAACCCACTCTGCGAATTTTTCCAGGCCCTCCAAGGTGAAGGCACCCACCCCAACACCAACTCACCAATGGCTGTGAGGAAGAGCCCAGCTTGGTCAATGGGGGCGCTGCCCTCCTCCTCATAGTAGCTGACTGTGACCTTGGTGGGGACAAGAGATAAGGGCAGAAGCTCATAGGTTACAGTGAAAAATAAACAAACAAACAAAAACCAGAAATAACACCCTGCTTCCCAGTTTTCTCTAAATGCAGGGCCCTGTCCTCTAGGAAGCACCCCTGGGCTGCTGAGGTACCTCTCACAGTTAATTTAAGAGGACAAGAGGTTCCTCTCCCCACCTGACCTGTGCTCTGGCACCTCCCCCTCCCTGCTTCCTAAACCCACTATGGTTGTGTGCCCAGCTCCAGCTAAGCCCCACGGGCTCCATTGTTCCTTTGGATGGTGCCTGATGCCAACACAGCAACAGGCTAGAGCAATGTCCATGAGAGAGCCCAGTGTGGAGACCATCCGGCTTTGGCTACATCACCTGGGCCAAGCACTTTGCCCTGATTGCTCCGCACTTCACTTGACAGACAGGTCTGGGTTGCTATGGCTACAATCTCCAATCATGATACGACTCTGAGGAGCTATTATTTTTGTTATCGTTAACCCCCCCCCCCCAAAACCCAAAACAAAACAAAAAACCAGGACTTGCTATATGTCTCAGGCTAACTTCAACACAGTGATGCTGCTGACTCTCAAGAGCTGAGATTACAAATGTGAACCCCAAGTCCTGGCTTCTCTTTTGCGAATGTGCATTTTGAAACTCTCTCACCATGTAGCTCGGGCTAGCCTGGCCTAAGTAGCTGAGGCTGGATTCAAACTGGCAGAAATCTCTCTTCCTTCAGCTATCTGGATTGTACTTCCTTTCTTCCTGTACTAGGACCTGAACTCGGGGCTTCACACATGCTAGATACACAATCACTGAGCACCCGTTTTCCATTAAAAGACTATTTTATGTGGACGGGGTTTTGCCTGCATGTATTTCTGTGTGCACCGCACACAGGCCTGGTGCCTTTGGAGGCCAGAAGAGAGTGTCAGATTCCCCGAAACTGGATGACAGATGGTTGTGAGCCACCATGTGGGTGCTGGGAATTGAACCAGGGTCCTCTGGGAGAGCAGCCAGTGTTCTTAACTGCTGAGCCACCTCTCTGGCCTCTAGTTTTCACTTTTTGAGCATATGTTCCATGCTTCCCAAATCAGGTCTTGATCATCCTGCCTCCACCTCCTAAGTGCTGGGGTTACAGGTGTGTGGCTCCATGCCTGGTCATTTTCTTTCCTTTTTTTTTTCACTCTGCTGACATATCTGCTAGGGACTAGGAAGGACTCTATGGCTCCCACTGCTTCTATGACTCAGGCTAGTATGCCCTGCCCTCCAGGACTCCAGCATGGCCCTGGGCTCCCTCAGTCCTGGATATTGACTTCCTGGCCATGGTACCTTGTCGCTGCTGGCCTCTGTGCTGGCCTGGGCCATGCTGAGCCGCAATGTGGTGGTGGGAGAGAGGGCCCAGCGCTGCTTGCCGTTGGTGACCACCTCCTCGGCCTCCCCATCACGCACCACCTCTACCTTCACACCTTCTGAGTGCTTCAGGCTGAAGGTTTTGGCCCCTGCGGGGGCTGCACTGTAGGGAGAAAGGACAGAAGGTCAGAGAGAGTCTCGGCTACATGGGACACGGGCCTTAGCAAAAGAGTCCCAGAGGGGTAGGGCTCCCAGGCGGTGTGGTCTGGGGATCCAGGCAGCCTAGCTGTAATGCAGTGACCTGCTGGTGGCAGGAGACTGTGAAGGGCACCGAGTCCTGGGCCAATCTTGCACCTGCTGAGTTGGAGATCAGGAACCCCAAATCTCTCTGTCTCTCTGTCTCTCTCCCTGTCTCTATCTTCATTCTCTCTGTCTGCTCTGCTAGACAAGTACTCTGCCACTCAACCTTCAGCCTCAGGACTGGAAATCTTTTACTTGTTAGATAGGATACTTTCATGCCACTCAGGCTGGTCCCAATGCCATCATCTGCCTAACTCAGTCTCTTCAGTGCTGGCATTTTTAGGAATATAGCACCACACTTGGCTTAGGCTCCAATTCATTCATTCACTCGCTCACCCATTCATTCATTCATTTACTTATCTATTTATTTATTGAGACAGGGTCTCTTGTTTGCTATATAAGTGAGGATAATCGTAAACTTTTGATTCTCCCACATCTACATCCACAAGCTGAAGTATGAGCCTGTGTTATCATGCCTGGTTTATGCCATGCTGGGGACTGAATGCCGAGCCTTGGCCATGCTAGGCAAGTACTTTACCAACTGAGTCACACCCCCATTTTAGGCCTTGAATTCTTACTGGGTTCTTGATGCCTCTGCAGATGGGTGACCAGCTTTGGGAGCATGGGGCTCTGCAGGGTGGATGGCAAGCCTAGGTGGAAGGATGGTTTTGCTCCAGAGGCAGAGCTGGACAGGAACTTCACCTTCCTGCCCACTGTCACTGGGAACTTAACAGGATGGAATCAGGCTCTATAGGAAAGGGGATTCTGTCTAGAAGATCCCCAGGCCTGGAATTCCTGAAGGTCATCTCTTGGAACTCATGCATGGCTTCCTGATGAGGGGGAAATGGTTTGGAAATTGTGAGACTTCACCAAGACTTAGGGCAGGGGAGGACACCGGCTTGCACTGGTTGCTGGGTACTGGAATTTATGTTCCGCCAAATTCATATACTGATGTTAGAACTCCAGGAAGGTGGTATCTGGAGACTTTTAGGAGATGGGGCATCAGGGATTCTAACCAAATATGAACGATGGCCTTTTAAGAAGTGAGAGAGAAGCTGGGTAGTGGTGGCACACACCTTTAATCCCAGCACTTGGGAGGCAGAGGCAGGTGGATTTCTGTGAGTTTGAGGCCAGCCTGGTCTATAAATGAGTTCCAGGACAGCCAGAATTGTTACACGGCAAAATCATGTCTTGAAACAAACAAACAAGAGTGCAAGAGAAGACAGATGAGTATACAACAGTAGGTGACAGGGAAGCCAGCAGAGGGAGATGCCAGGGCTGGCGGTCTGGGCAAACCCAGGTTTGAAGGTTCTTAAGAACCATGGTGGATCTAGGAGCTCTGGAAGGGTTCTTGTAGGATTTGAGATGATGACAATGGAGGCCTGAGTATGTCCCAAGGGCACAGCTACTGCTCTGGGAAACCTCAGAAACACTGGTGTGCTGTTTACATTTTCAGGGCATTTTCCTTTTTTTAGTTTTTTGCTTTTAGACACAGGGTCTCCATAGGTAGTTTTGCCTGGAATTCATTATGTAGACCAGGCTGGCCTTGAACCTGCAACAACCTTCTTGTCTCTGCTGGGATTGGGATCAGAAGCTTATGCTACCATGCCTAGACTTAAATCATCATCATCATCTTCTTCTTCTTCTTCTTCTTCTTCTTCTTCTTCTTCTTCTTCTTCTTCTCCTCCTCCTTCTCCTCCTCTTCCTCCTCCTCCCTCCTCCTCCCTCCCTCTCTCCCCCTTTGCCCCCCATGCCTACAGGCTTAGGGGTTCCATCCCATGAGAGGTCTGTCTTCTGGGCCAGGTGAGACAGGGGTAGCTGGTAATGAAGCAGGGGCCCAGCTGAAGAAGAGGCTTAAGTTTGTGACTCTCAAATTTAGCAGCAGCAACAACAGCTAGCGGTCTGGTCCAAACAGTGACTTCTGAGTCCTTAGAATGTACATCCTAGAAACTCCCGAGGCCATAGTTTGAGAAGCACTGCTGTAACTAACCATCATCAATGTGGTCTGGTAGTTATAGCTTGGGAAGGAATTACAGGGAGTCTGTAGAGGCTGCCAAGCGATTCATTCTTGGCCTTTTGGCTAAAATAAAGTGGAGGGAGCTAGAGCCCCGCCCTCCTTGAACCAAGACCACTCCATCCAGCTTTATAAGTCAGGAAGCTTCTGCATGCAGTTCTGAGATAAGGATGCTTCCCAACCCACATCAAAAGCATGATCCCCCAGGATGCGGTTAGTCTTGGTGCCGCCGCCTGCCTCCATCCCTCTGAGCCAGCAAGAAACCAAAGGAAAAGTATCTAGTGGGTTAACACTGGGCCACAGCAGCGCTCCCTGGCCCCAAGCCTCCCACAGCCCCACACCAGGCCTGCTTGAGGCTGAGCAAACAGCTATTCTTGGAGCGGCTCTGGCAGAGGCCACAAAGACGCCATTGTCTCTTGTGGATCCTGTTGGCCGCCTCCTTCCCCGGGGGAAGATCCTTTTAGAATCCCCTGCAGAAACCCAAGAGCCTAGGGTTACAGATGGCCTGGGGTCCCCAGAGGCTGTGGGACAGAACAGAGGGAGAGAAAGGAATGGGGTGGCGTGGCTCTGACCTCCTGGCTTACTGGGAAGAGTCTAAAGAGAGCATGTATGAGACAGGAGGCCGGTCCTAAGGACATGTCTGCAGTGTCCCAGCACCCAGGATGTAACAGTAAATGAATGAAAGAATTCTTCCTGTCTGGCTTTGCAGGCTGGAATCAAACATTTTTTATGTTTATTAATTTAGTGTGTGTGCGTGCACACACACAGGTGAAGACCAAGGGTTGATGCCGGATGTCTTCCTGTATTGATTTCCACCTTAGTTTTTGAGGCAGGGTGTATCACTGAGCCTAGATCTAATTGTTTTGGCTAGACTGGCTGGCCAGTGAGCCCCTGGGGTCCATGTGTCTCCATCGCTCAGTCCTGGGGTCACAGACCTTTGCTGCTACACCCGGCTTTAGGTTGGTGATGGGGATATGAACCCATGTTCTCAAGTTTGCACATAAGCACTTTACCCACTGAGCCACCTCCCAGCCCCTCACTGTCACAATTTCTTCTAATACCCGTAAGGTTGGTCCCTGATTCTCCACCTGCTCAATGCCCACATCTCGATAAATGGATTTGTGCCTGTGTTTATTCTCCACAGTGAGCTGCATCTTACTCCTCATTTCGCTCCAGACCTGGCACAAAGTAGAAAGATTTGCTGGAGGCCGGGCGGTGGTGGCACACGCCTTTAATCCCAGCACTCAGTAGGCAGAGGCAGGCGAATCTTTGTGAGTTCAAAGCCAGCCTGGTCTACAAGAGCTAGTTCCAGGACAGGCTCCAAAGCTACAGAGAAACTCTGTCTCAAACAAACAAACAAACAAAAAAAAAAAAAGAGAAAGATTTGCTGGAGATGGGGCTGGAGGAGAAAGGCTTGCTTGCTTCTACAGCCATTTATTCGTTCAACAAGTATTTTTTGAGCGGTTACTATGTATCAGGCAGAGTTCTGGGCCCCAGCGAAAGACTGGCTAAAATAATAATACATCTTTTCAGTCTTGGAGCTTATATTCTAGTGAAAGAAAGGTTTTCTATAGATTATGCAATTAACTGTGTTGGCTGCGAGAGAGAGAAATGGGGGTGTAGCTTGGCAGTAGTGCGCTTGCTTAACATGCACAAGGTCTTGGGTTCTGGAAAGATGGGTGAATGATGTCTGTGGTTCTCAGACGATTCTCTGAGGAAATAACATTTGAGCTAAGAGTCTAAAGTTTATTCTCAAAGGAATCAGTTAAGTCCAGAACTCTAGCATCAGTGACAGGGTGACACACTACTCTCTCAAGAGGATTTCTTTCAAGCTCCAAGCTGCCCTGATGCTGTAGGACTAGGGAGACCTGACACAGGAAAAAGGGAAGAAGGTGAGTGTGGCTGGATCTGTGTGTGTGTGTGTGTGTGTGTAGGTAGGTAGGTAGGTGGGTGTGTGTGTGGGTGTATGCACACGCACATGGGGAGAGGATGATCATGATTGTGGGACAGGGCCCAGACATGTTGGAGCTGGCCTTTCTACTGAGGGAGGGACATTACCAAGGGCTTACCAGCAAGTAGGGATTACAGAAGAAAAGTAATGGAAGTGTGTGTGTGTGTGTATGTGTGTGTGTGTGTGTGTGTGTGTGTGTGTGTAGGGGTAGTAAGTGAGCAGGTGATGGAGGTGATGGTAGCTGCCATGTGTGTGGTGATGGTCCTTGGGGCTGGATAGTGGCCATGGAAATGGAGAGAAATGGCTAGGCAGACCTGTGCCCAGCTTCTCAAATGCTGTGTGGCCTCTGGCCTCCTGCCTGTCCGATCTTCTTTCAGACATTGGGGAAAGGTCTTGGGAATAGCCTGGCAGCCATGGGGAGGCCCACACAAACTCACACTTGAGCGTGTGATATGACTGGTCTTTGCTGGCCCCTGGCTCTCAGCTTGTCCATTTGGCTTGGACCTCATTAATGCCAGCTGGGGTTCATCCTTGGAGTGACCCCAGCTCCTGGCAGCCGGGGTGTGACATCCTGCCCTTAGGTCTTTGGAGGAGTTGGAAGGAGCAGTTATGGCTGCTAAACTGGTGAGCACCCTCAGGGACAGAGATGAGGGAAGGGAGGAAGATCTTAGGCCTCACACCTGATGCTCACGATGGTGATGGCTAGAGTTTTTAGGGCTGGCGCTAGCCCAGGCAGGGCTGGTTGAGGCAAACCTTGGCATGGCATGTGTGTATAGCTGGCCTCCTTCTCTACGTGGCTGCCCAGCAGCCTCCATCCCAGGGTGCTGTGACTCTGGCAGCCAGAGGTCCCTCTACAGGGAAGAAACAATCTAATCTCTGCTAACTTCCTTCCTCAGAA